CACACTCAACCACCCACTCAACCACTCATTCTCTCAACCACCCACTCAACCACTCACTCACTGAACCAATCACTCTCTCAACCACCCACTCAACCACTCACTCACTTAACCACTTACTCACTCAACCACCCACTCTACCACTCAAACACTCACCCACTAACTCACTCTACCACTCACTCAATCAACCACTCACTCTACCACTCTAACACACAAACACTCACCCAGTAACTCACTCAACCACTCACTCACCCACTTACTTAACAACTCACTCACTCAACCACTCACTCTACCACTCACTCTACCACTCAAACACTTGCCCACTCACTCACTCTACCACTCACTCTACCACTCAAACACTCACCCACACACTCACTCAACCACTCACTCAACCACTCAAACTCTCACTCAACCTCTCAACCACTCACTCACTTAACCACTCACCCAAACACCAAACCACTCACCCACTCAGACATTATTTTTTTTTACAATACCTTTATATAATAATGTACAATGATGTTTTTTTACAATACCTTTATATTAATAATGTACAATGATGTTTTTTTACAATACCTTTATATTAATAATGTACAATGATGTTTTTTTACAATACCTTTATATAATAATGTACAATGATGTTTTTTTACAATACCTTTATATAATAATGTACAATGATGTTTTTTTACAATACCTTTATATTAATAATGTACAATGATGTTTTTTTACAATACCTTTATATAATAATGTACAATGATGTTTTTTTACAATACCTTTATATTAATAATGTACAATGATGTTTTTTTTACAAAACCTTTATTATGATAATGTACAATGATGTTTTTTTACAGTACCTTTATATAATAATGTACAATGATGTTTTTTTACAGTACCTTTATTATGATAATGTACAATGATGATTTTTTACAATACCTTTATTATGATAATGTACAATAATGTTTTTTACAATACCCTTATTATAATAATGTGTATACTTATCTTTCCTTGGTAAGCATGCCCAAAGCACTTCATATGTAGTATTATACCATATGATAATGTATATTTATGTAAGTCCAGTGATCAATTGGCTTTGCCAGAAATATATGTCACAGGGACAATGATGAACATCCAACATGCTTATTATCATTTATAATGTAAAAAAGGTATTATTAATGTCAGTGAAAAGGAACAGGGCATTCTTAATGGCAAGTGCTTATTATCCAGCATGTGGTGATACCAGCTTGACTGATGAATCCAAAGCTTTCTCCTTGTTGACACACTGTACCAAAGCTGTTGACACATAGTAATAAACTGCTCTACTTGTTGACATACTTCTGTTCCAGTGGACACGCCAACCCATCTGTGGGAGAACTTGGTGACACACTTGAAAACAAATACATTTCTATTCTTGTTTGGAAGCTGTCTTTGTTTTGTCCGCATAAATCTGAGTGAAGTGTACTCTTGCATCATCTTTGGTAGGACAACACTCCACTTGCCATGTGTGATGACTGCTTCAGTGTCTGGCAGAGTGAGTGAGTGAGTTTAGTTTTACGCCGCTTTAAGCAATATTCCAGCAATATCATGGTGGAGGACACCAGAAATAGGCTTCACACATTGTACCCTTGTGGGGAGTCGAACCCGGTCTTCGGCGTGACGAGCGAATGCTTTAACCACTGGGCTACCCCACAACCCCTCATGGTTGGAGACTGTGATGGCTGCCTCGGTGGTCTATCAGAGCTGAAGGTTGTGGGTTTTCTCCCCTGTCACCTGTAGCGTACCAAACAATGTTAGAAAGGCATTGTTAGCCGGTTTGGCACTTCGCATTAACCTGATATAACAAGGACTGGTGGGCTTGGATTCAGTATACAGTGGGATGGCAGTGGACTGTACACTTGCATTCAGTATACAGTGTAGGGTATTCATTTTTAAAGAGTGGGATGGTAGTGGACTGTACTATTAAACCGATGCATTCACACATGCACATATACTCACACAATCACATGCTCACAAACACAAAAAACAAGCACACACAGATGCTCACACAATCACATACTCGCAAACACAAACACAAATGCTCACACATTCACATACACACACACTCACAAACACAAGCACACACAGATGCTCACACAATCCACAAGCACACAGATGCTCACACAATCACATACTTCATACTCAAAAACACAAACACACACAGATGCTCACACAATCCGTACACAAATGCTCACACATTCACATACACACACTCACAAGCACACACAGATGCTCTCACATTCCACACACACAAACACAAGCACACACATATGCTCTCACATTCACATACACACTCTCACAAGCACACACAGATGCTCACACAATCACATACAAACACACAGATGCTCTCACATTCACACACACAAACACAAACACACACAGATGTTCACACAAGCACACACTCACAAACACAAGCAGACACAGATGCTCACACATTCACATACACACACTCCACAAGCACAAACGCCAGCACATGTACATGTTGCTATAGAAGCATTATAATCTACAACACACCGGTAACCTCCTATTTGCTTCATCTCCAGGTTCTGACAGTCCTTTAAACCAAGGCACTTCTGTAAGTGCTCCCATGAAGAATCGGTTTAGTGGTCCAGGGGGGATTCACTATTAGCTGGAACAACATTGAGATTGAGGGCAGTGTTGTGAAAATAATTGCAATAGTGTTTAGAGTAAAAGTGATGAAGACTGCCTTGAGGAATATGGTGCTCAGCCCTAAAAACATGCCAGAGCTCTAACAACATGGATTTCTATATTAAATGTGCTTGTAGGGATGTATATATTTTTTAAATTATATATTTTTAGGGAAGTGTCTGCTTATGTCAACAGAATGTTGAAATTGTTAATTAAGTTTTAAGAAAGAAATGTTGTTCAGGTGATTTTTTTACATTTTGTTGGACAGAAGCTACATCATAGTGATGTTCTTGTGAGAGATAGAAATCGAATTTAGTTTTCGAAACATGACCATGAACACAAAAAATTGTTCAGTGAAATAATAAAAAGATGGAGGACTTTTAGCTAGGATTCTGAACTACGTGCCATTGGCAGGCAGATTAGTAAAAAAATATGATGTAGTTGGAAAATATGGACGTTTTGTTGAAAAATATAATAATGTTTTGAAGATTTCAATTTTCTAATTTTAGGTATTTTTATTTTAATGTAAATTGAAGTGTAAAGTATACACATTTTCTGTTGCAGATCAAGTTTTATGGAAACCCCTTTTCTTAAGCAATTAGTACAAAGGATCACTTTCTCTTTTGCAATTAGGTTGATGACATCCAGTATTAGGAGTGCCGGTACCATTTCCTGTTGCAATTAGGTTGATGACATCCAGTATTAGGGTGCGGTACCATTTTCTGTTGCAATTAGGTTGATGACATCCAGTATTGGGATGCCATTTTCTGTTGCAATTAGGTTGATGACATCCAGTATTAAGGATACCACTTTCTGTTGCAATTAGGTTGATGACATCCAGTATTAATGATACCATTTTCTGTTGCAATTAGGTTGATGACATCCAATATTAAGGATACCATTTTCAGTTGCACTTAGGTTGATGACATCCAGTATTAAGGATACCATTTCCTGTTGCAATTAGGTTGATGACATCCAGTATTAACGATACCACTTTCTGTTGAAATTAGGATACCATTTCCTGTTGCAATTAGGTTGATGACATCAAGTATTAAGGATACCATTTTTCTGTTGCACTTAAGTTGATGACATCCAGTATTAAGGATGCCATTTGCTGTTGCAATTAGGTTGATGACATCTAGTAATATTGATACCATTTTCTGTTGCACTTAGGTTGATGATATCCAGTATTAAGATACCATTTCCTGTTGCAATTAGGTTGATGGCATCCAGTATTAACGATACCACTTCATGTTGAAATTGGGATACCATTTCCTGTTGCAATTAGGTTGATGACATCCAGTATTAAGGATACCATTTCCTGTTGCAATTAGGTTGATGACATCCAGTATTAAGGATACCATTTCCTGTTGCAATTAGGTTGATGGCATCCAGTATTAACGATACCACTTCATGTTGAAATTAGGATACCATTTGCTGTTGTAATTAGGTTGATGACATCCAGTATTAACAATACCATTTCCTGTTGCAATTAGGTTGATTACATCCAGTGTTAAGGATACCATTTCCTGTTGCAATTAGGTTGATGACATCCAGTTTTAAGGATACCATTTTCAGTTGCAATTAGGTTGATGTCATCCAGTATTAAGGATACCATTTCCTGTTGCAATTAGGTTGATTACATCCAGTGTTAAGGATACCATTTCCTGTTGCAATTAGGTTGATGACATCCAGTTTTAAGGATACCATTTTTCAGTTGCAATTAGGTTGATGTCATCCAGTATTAAGGATACCATTTCCTGTTGCAATTAGGTTGATGACATCCAGTATTAAGGATACCATTTTCTGTTGCAATTAGGTTGATGACATCAGTATTAAGGATACCATTTCCTGTTACAATTAGGTTGATGACATCCAGTATTAAGGATACCATTTCCTGTTGCAATTAGGTTGATGACATCCAGTATTAAGGATACCATTTCCTGTTGCAATTAGGTTGATGACATCCAGTATTAAGGATACCATTTTCAGTTGCAATTAGGTTGATGACATCCAGTATTAAGGATACCATTTTCAGTTACAATTAGGTTGATGACATCCATTATTAAGGATAACATTTTCAGTTACAATTAGGTTGATGACATCCAGTATTAAGGATACCATTTTCAGTTGCAATAAGGTTGATGACATCCAATATTAAGGATACCATTTTCAGTTACAATTAGGTTGATGACATCCATTATTAAGGATACCATTTCCTGTTGCACTTAGGTTGATGACATCCAGTATTAAGGATACCATTTTCTGTTGCAATTTGGTTGATGACATTTAGTACTAACGATACCATTTTCTGTTGCACTTAGGTTGATGAGATCAAGGTCAGCCCGGAGTCAGAGACCTGTATCATACAGTTGCATAAAGGCGCTGTTGTCAAGGGAAAAAAGGTAAATTATTGGGAAGGAGCAGTTAGATTGTCACCATCGTCATGAGTAAAATAATACCGTGGAATATTGTCATGTACATTGCTTCATTCACAAGAAGAGAACCAAGAAGATCCTGGTCATCAGTAACCGTTAGTTGTAAGAGACGACTAATGGGGTTGAGTGGTCAGGCTCACTGACATGATTGACAAATGTCATCTTATCCCAGTTGTGTAGATCGATGCTCATGCTGTCAGTCACTGGATTGTCTGGTCCAGACTTGATTATTTACAGCCCGCCACCATAGCTGGAATAATGCTGACCGTGGCGTTAAACAACAAACCAATACCAACCAATAGAGGTGAGGGTGAAGTGGGTTTCACGTCGATGCTTGAAACAAACTATTCTTAGTGAGGATCTGTTGTTTTTGTGAATTCATGTGAGAGATGTGGTTTCAGACTTCATGTAAGACCTGTTGTTTTAAGCGTGTTCATGTGAGCTGTGGCTGTGGTTTCAGAGTTCATGTGAGACCTGTTGTTTTAGTGTGTTCATGTGGAGAGCTGTGGTTTCAGAGTTCATGTGAGACCTGTTGTTTTAGTGTGTTCATGTAAGTGAGACCTGTTGTTTCAGAGTGAGTTCTTGTACTACACTATGAAAGTGCCAGATCCCTACAAGTTTGAAGAGAAGGTGAGGAAGGCAGAAGCTGAGCTTGGCATCAAACCAGAGCAAGGTGTGCCCATCTCCTATGACAGGAACAGGTAGGTCACGTTCACATTTAACCCTGGGCACCAGCCTTCTCTCTCTTCAGCTCTCTTGAGGGCGGTGGGGTAACCTAATGGTTAAAGTTGGCTCGTCGTCGGAAGATCCGGGTTCGAATCCCCACATGGGTACAATGTGTGAAGCCTATTTCTGGTGTCCCCTTGCATTGATGTTGCTGGAATATTGCTAAAAGCGGGGTAAAACCAAACTCAGTCAGTCATTCAGTCAGCTCTCTTGTTCACTATTCATGTGTTTTGGACTAGGACAGAGTTGGGTGAAATACATATCAATTCGGGCTGTGGGTAGCCTAGAGGTTCAAGATTCCCCACATGGGTACATCTATCAAGCCCATTTCTGGTGTCCCCATTAAGTGATAAACCCGTGATGGTTCGGATTAGAATATTGATCTTCAGTAACCCATGCTTGTCATAAGAGGCGACTAGCGGGATCGAGGTGGTCAGACTTCGCTGACTAAGTTGACACATGTCATCGGTTCCCAATTATGCGAATCGATGCACCGTGCTGTTGATCACTTGATTGTCTGGTCAGACTCTATTATTTACAGACGCGCCGCCATATAGCTGGAATATTGCTGAGTCGCGGCCTAAAACTAAACTAAACTCCCTACTAAGGGCAGTGGAGTAGCCTAGTGGTTAAAGCGTCCGCTCGTCAAGCCGAAGACGCAGGTTCGATTCGACAAATGGGTACAATGTGTGAAGCCCATTTCTCGTGTCCCCCACCGTGATATTGCTGGAATATTGCTAAAAGCGACGTAAAACCATACTCACTCACTCATTGTGGTCATCTAAAACACTTTGACTTGCTGTGTGGAGTTATGTCCCTTTGGTATGCCAGAATCTTGTGTTCCAGTTGGGGTTTGTCCTGGTTTTTGTCCCCCACCGCAACACGGAACAGGGGGACTATGTATTCAGCAGCAGACTCAATTATTTACAGACTGCCGCCTTATAACTGGAATATTGCTGAGTGGCGTAAAACTAAACTCACTCACTCACTCATGCCCTGATGTTTGTGTTCCAGCTCCTGGTTTGCCTTCATCTTCATGGCTGTGATTGGCCTGGCTCTCTTCCTGTTTCTGCGCAGCGTCACAAAGGTGTCACTACCGAACCCCTCCGACATGTTTGTAAGTAAACCTGCACTGATAGGATAGTTTTACCATGCTGTTTCAGCTGTCACGTGTTGACACTGATGCTCTGTCACTGTACTAGCTTTATTTTGTGTTGTCTGAGAATGCATTCTATTTAAATCCAAGGTCTTCTGCACATTACTGTCCAGTCAAAAGAGTTTTTATTGAGAGTTATGCTGAAGAATCAAAGCACACGCATCAGATGATGTGCAGTTGTAATTTATTCTGCAGGCCAATGAGCGTAAAGCAAAGTTCGTGCGCGTGGATGTCATGTCCCAACAAGGCAAGGGTATCAGCTTCAAGGATGTGGCAGGGTTGAAGGAGGCCAAGGTCGAGGTCATGGAGTTTGTGGATTACATGAAGACCCCGCAGAGATTTAAGGTAAGACGCCATGCTAGATCAGTTTGAAGCCACCACAGTTGTGTGTCTGGGAAGTCTTCAATCATCTTAGCAATAAAATATAGATGAGATTGTGTATCCTTTGGACAGGGGAAAAAAATAGCATTTAGCAGTTATACATACAGTGATCCATGAACATCTGGGTGAGATTTTCTTTAGCAACCCAGCTACTAACAGGATCAGGTGGTCAGGCTTGCTGACTTGTTTGACACATGTCTCGTATCCCAATTGTGTAGATTGATGTAGGGGCGGTGGGGTAGCCTAGTGGTTAAAACATTGGCTCTTCACGCCGAAGACCCGGGTTTGATTCCCCACATGGGCACAATGTGTTAAGCCCATTTCTGGTGTCCCCCGCCGTGATATTGCTGGAATATTGCTAAAAGCGGCGAAAACTAAACTCAGTCAGTCAGTCAGTCAGTAGATTGATGCTCATGCTGTTAATCACTGGACAGACTAGTCCAGACTGGTCCAGACTGGATTAATTGCAGACAGCCATCATATAACTATATAGGAGAACCTTTTAAGAAATGAAACATTTTCTTACATGAAGATTTGCTAAGGTCACAAAATCGAACTTTTTGCTAATATGTTTTTGTCTTTGATTGCAGGAACTTGGGGCAAAGATTCCCCACGGAGCCCTGTTGCTGGGTCCACCAGGGTGTGGCAAGACACTGCTGGCAAAAGCTGTAGCCACTGAAGCAAGAGTCCCCTTCCTGGCTATGGCGGGGTCTGAGTTCGTGGAGATGTTGGGAGGTCAGGGTCGATACATCTTGTTGGGAAATCATAAGTCTGTCAGCTTTGGGCGTCTGAGGTCACTTGGCCTTGCTGGGAGGTCAGGGGTCGATACATCGTTTTGGGAGGTCATTGTGTCAATCAGATTGGGACATCTCAGGTCACTTTGTCATGTTGAGTGATCAGGGTCATAAAGTCACGTTGAGTAATCTGGGTCACTAAGCCATGTCAAAATGTCAACAAGTTAATTTCAGAAACCAGGGTCACTGATTGTTGTTGGGCATCACTGTGTCAAGATGATTAACAAATGTTCTACTTCGCTCTTGTCAAGTCAGGCCCCCCCGTTCACAGTATTAATATGTTTGTTATTTTATTGGTTCAGGTATATTACTTTCAAACCTGCTGTGATAAAGTGTTAATATTATGAGCTTCAACATGACTCTGACACTCTTTTATCACACACCTTTCTTCTGTCTGAGCAGGTCTGGGAGCAGCAAGGGTGCGAGACTTGTTCAAGGAGGCCAGGAAGCGAGCTCCATGCATCATCTACATCGATGAGATTGATGCCATTGGGAGGAAAAGGAGTGGCAGGTAAGCTAAAGGGGCGGTGGGGTAGCCTACTGGTTAAAGCGTTCGCTCGTCATGCCGGTGACCCGGGTTTGATTCCTCACGTCGGTACAATATGTGAAGCCCATTTCTGGTGTCCCCAGCCATGATGTTGCTGGAATATTGCTAAAAGCAGTGTAAAACTAAACTCACTCACTCAAATGATTCTCAAATTGTCATTAATGTTGAAGTAATGTATGGATTATTAATGAAACAATAATGCTTATTTTACACTGATGCAGATTTGTTGTATAATTTTTGTCTGTCACTAATTTCATTCAGTATATAAGCTATAACATTTATCCTGTGTCTTCCTGCTGCTCTTATTTGGCAGTGGTAATAATTCAGAGAAGTCATAGATGTACTCATTAAGTATGTCTTGAATCTTCCCTCTGTGATTTTAGCCTATACAGTCCTCGTTCTACTGTGATTCGGTTTGTAATAGTTTTTGGAAAATGCTGCAGGACTTATGGAAAGTGAATTGAAAGTAGTGGCATTTGTATTTTTCACAAGCCAGATAGAGCGCTGACCATATAGACTGAAAAGGCTGCTGAGATCATTTACTGTGTTAATGAACTTCAGAATGTAAGGGAGGTACTCGTTATCAAACACATGGTGTAAGACACCAACCAAAGAATAAATTTAAACCGGTATTGATAACATTGTTTTAAACATGCCACAAACCACAGCTCATTAGCTTGAATGTCACATTGATTGGTTTGTCCAAGGTGGTACAGTGTAAAACCCATAACCTTTGTCTTCTTCACACAATCGTGCAGTTGGGAGTTGACTTACTGTTGAGATCAGTGTTCACCCAATAGACTGACTGTTGCAGCACCATGGGCGGCAGCGCAGAGGAGGAGCACACCCTCAACCAGCTGCTGGTGGACATGGATGGCATGGGCACCATGGAGGGCGTCATTGTCCTCGCCTCCACCAATAGGGCTGATATACTGGACAAGGTGAGCATCGTACTGCAGTATCTAGTCTCTTTGGTCTATGTAGCATCTGGTAGAACTATGGTGAGTCTGGTTGATCCGTGTGGTGTCTCATAGAATCTCAGGGATCCATCTGGTAGGACCATGTAGTATTGGATTGATCCACATCTACTCTCACAGATCAAGTTAGGGACTCGTATATCCATATCTCGCCTCATAGATCAATACAGATCCATGTAGACTATGATAGATCCATGTAGTCCGATATATCCATGTAGAGTCTGATAGATCCATGTAGAGTCCGATAGATCCATGTAGAGTCCGATAGATCCATGTAGAGTCCGATAGATCCATGTAGAGTCCGATAGTTCCATGTAGAGTCTGATGGATCCATGTAGAGTCTGATGGATCCATGTAGAGTCTGATGGATCCATGTAGAGTCTGATGGATCCATGTATAGCCTGATGGGTCCATGTATAGTCTGATAGATCCATCTCGTCTGATAGATCCATATAGTCTGATAGATCCATGTAGAGTCTGATGGATCCATGTAGAGTCTGATAGTTCCATGTAGAGTCTGATGGATCCATGTAGAGTCTGATGGATCCATGTATAGCCTGATGGGTCCATGTAGAGTCTGATGGATCCATGTAGTCTGATATATCCATGTAGAGTCTGATGGATCCATGTAGTCTGATAGTTCCATGTAGAGTCTGATAGATCCATGTAGAGTCTGATGGATCCATGTGTAGCCTGATGGGTCCATGTAGAGTCTGATGGATCAATGGAGAGTCTGATGGATCCATGTAGAGTCTGATGGATCCATGTAGTCTGATGGATCCATGTATAGCCTGATGGGTCCATGTATAGTCTGATAGATCCATATCGTCTGATAGATCCATATAGTCTGATAGTTCCATGTAGAGTCTGATGGATCCATGTAGAGTCTGATAGTTCCATGTAGAGTCTGATGGATCAATGTAGAGTCTGATGGATCCATGTATAGCCTGATGGGTCCATGTAGAGTCTGATAGATCCGTGTAATCTGATAGATCCATGTAGTCTGATGGGTCCATGTAGAGTCTGATGGATCCATGTAGAGTCTGATAGTTCCATGTAGTGTCTGATGGATCCATGTAGAGTCTGATAGATCCATGTAGTCTGATAGATCCATTTAGAGTCTGATGAATCCATGTAGTCTGATAGATCCATGTAGACTCTGATGCATCCATGTAGAGTCTGATGGATCCATGTAGTCTGATAGATCCATGTAGAGTCTGATAGATCCATGTAGTCTGATAGATCCATGTAGTCTGATAGATCCATGTAGTCTGATAGATCCATGTATATTCTGATAGGTCCATGTAGAGTCTGATAGATCCATGTAGACTCTGATGCATCCATGTAGAGTCTGATGGATCCATGTAGTCTGATAGATCCATGTAGAGTCTGATAGATCCATGTAGTCTGATAGATCCATGTAGTCTGATACATCCATTTAGAGTCTGATAGATCCATGTAGTCTGATAGATCCATGTAGTCTGATATATCCATGTAGAGTCTGATGGATCCATGTAGAGTCTGATGGATCCATGTAGTCTGATAGATCCATGTAGTCTGATAGATCCATGTATATTCTGATAGGTCCATGTAGAGTCTGATGGATCCATGTAGTCTGATGGATCCGTGTAATCTGATGGATCCATGTAGTCTGATAGTTCCATGTAGAGTCTGATGGATCCATGTAGAGTCTGATAGTTCCATGTAGCGTCTGTCGGATCAATGTAGAGTCTGATGGATCCATGTATAGCCTGATGGGTCCATGTAGAGTCTGATAGATCCGGGTAATCTGATAGATCCATGTAGTCTGATGGGTCCATGTAGAGTCTGATGGATCCATGTAGAGTCTGATAGTTCCATGTAGTGTCTGATGGATCCATGTAGAGTCTGATAGATCCATGTAGTCTGATAGATCCATTTAGAGTCTGATGAATCCATGTAGTCTGATAGATCCATGTAGACTCTGATGCATCCATGTAGAGTCTGATGGATCCATGTAGTCTGATAGATCCATGTAGAGTCTGATGGATCCATGTAGTCTGATGGATCCATGTAGTTTGATAGATCCATTTAGAGTCTGATGGATTCATGTAGTCTGATAGATCCATGTAGTCTGATAGATCCATGTAGAGTCTGATGGATCCATGTAGTCTGATAGATCCATGTAGAGTCTGATGGATCCATGTAGTCTGATAGATCCATGTAGAGTCTGATGCATCCATGTAGAGTCTTATAGATCCATGTAGAGTCTGATGGATCCATGTAGTCTGATAGATCCATGTAGAGTCTGATGGATCCATGTAGAGTCTGATAGATCCATGTAATCTGATAGATCCATGTAGTCTGATGGGTCCATGTAGAGTCTGATGGATCCATGTAGAGTCTGATAGTTCCATGTAGTGTCTGATGGATCCATGTAGAGTCTGATAGATCCATGTAGTCTGATAGATCCATTTAGAGTCTGATGAATCCATGTAGTCTGATAGATCCATGTAGACTCTGATGCATCCATGTAGAGTCTGATGGATCCATGTAGTCTGATAGATCCATGTAGAGTCGGATGGATCCATGTAGTCCTGATGGATCCATGTAGTTTGATAGATCCATTTAGAGTCTGATGGATTCATGTAGTCTGATAGATCCATGTAGTCTGATAGATCCATGTAGAGTCTGATGGATCCATGTAGTCTGATAGATCCATGTAGAGTCTGATGGATCCATGTAGTCTGATAGATCCATGTAGAGTCTGATGCATCCATGTAGAGTCTTATAGATCCATTTAGAGTCTGATGGATCCATGTAGTCTGATAGATCCATGTAGAGTCTGATGGATCCATGTAGAGTCTGATAGATCCATGTAGAGTCTGATGGATCCATGTAGTCTGATATATCCATGTAGAGTCTGATGGATCCATGTAGTCTGATAGATCCATGTAGAGTCTGATGGATCCATGTAGTCTGATAGATCCATGTAGAGTCTGATGCATCCATGTAGAGTCTGATAGATCCATGTAGTCTGATAGATCCATGTAGTCTGATGGATCCATGTAGAGTCTGATGGATCCATGTAGTCTGATAGATCCATGTACGTCTGATGCATCCATGTAGAGTCTGATGGATCCATGTGGTCTGATGGATCCATGTAGTCTGATAGATCCATGTAGAGTCTGATGGATCCATGTAGAGTCTGATAGTTCCATGTAGGAGTCTGATGGATCCATGTAAGAGTCTGATGGATCCCATGCAAATCCTGATAGATCCATGTAGAGTCTGATGGATCCATGTAGTCTGATAGATCCATGTAGTCTGATAGATCCATGTAGAGTCTGATGCATCCATGTAGAAGTCTGATAGATCCATGTAGAGAGTCTGATGGATCCATGTAGTCTGATAATGAGTCGTCATGTAGGAGTCTGATGGATCCATGTAGGAATCTGATAGTTCCATGTAGAGTCTGATGGATCCATGTAGAGTCTGATGGATCCATGTATAGCCTGATGGGTCCATGTATAGTCTGATAGATCCATATCGTCTGATAGATCCATATCGTCTGATAGATCCATGTATAGTCTGATGGATCCATGTAGAGTCTGATAGTTCCATGTAGAGTCTGATGGATCCATGTAGTCTGATGGATCCATGTAGTCCGATAGATCCAGGTAGAGTCTCATAGATCCATTACTGATAGAGATATGATAGTCTCAAAGACAAACTTTAACGCATGTAGCATCTCATGTATCAGGGAATATTGCTAAAAGCGGCGTAAAACTAAACTCAGTCAGTCAGTACAACTGTAAGGCAACTACCTGATGACACGGTGTGTTGCTCATGATACCAATCATTTGTTGGTCAGTCTCAGACTTGCATGCTACTGTGCATGAGCTGGAATATTGGTAAAATCAGCTTATGGATTTAAGAAGCAAAAACATCTAACATTCTTATTATGATAGCAAGATCCATGGGATGATAAACAAAAAGTAAAGGATTAAACCATGTACAAGCTCATGCCACGGGACAGTGAATCTGTTGTGTGAATATTACAGGCCCTGCGCTTCGACCTGGCCGAGTTGGTCGTCCACATCATGATTGACCTCCCAGCAGCTGAAGAGAGAGGCGGGGAAACATTTGAGATGTATCTGAAGAAACTGAAACTAGTGAACCTCCATCAGTGTATGCTCGAGAACTGTCCCAGATGTCACCAGGGATGAGTAGTGGGTGTGTCAATACCTCACTTCAGAGGGTCTGCAGCGTTTGAAAAATATCTATGATGGTTTCTTTAAGTGATTTAACTTCTTAGAGATTGAAAATTAGGGTGTGTCAAGTGAGTTTGGTATGGCTTGTGTGGCTGGGTGAATGGCGGCTTTGGCAGGACAATATATCAGGGTTTTGGTGCAGACTATGGTGGGTGTAAGAGGCCCGTGGTTTGACAGGGTTGGAGTTGTTTAGGGTGCTTGAGGTAGAAAGATATCCTGTGAGTTGTCAGGAGTGGTTGGAGTGTATGTTGGTTTTCTTTTGGGTGTTGTGGGTAATATCTTGAGACACATCTAACCATTTAGTATATCAACTGAGCACTTAATGTGGGATGCTGTGTGGTGAAAATTCAAAATACACATTTAAGACAGGTAACATCCATTTTGGTTAGAACCATGCTAAATGTATACAATATTCATGTATTCATGTGTAAAGGGAGCCAGCTAACTTTCAGCTTAGGTGGGATTGTCTAATAAACCCTTATTACTCCCCAACTTGAGGGTGGGAATTGTAAAGTAGTTAAGAGCGTTTGCTTGTCATGATGAGAACTCAGGTTTGATTCCCCAAATGGGTCCTATCAGCATAAAATTGCCAATGGATGCAATGAAATTTATTAAGCGCATCCACAGGGACATGAAAAGTCCAAATACTTTTTGTAAAAATTCAATCAAGTAACAATAAGTTATCACTGAGTTTGCTGCTAGCTGAGTTATGGTATCATTTGCAGTTTGATTACTGTAACAATTTAAGTGATGATCATGATACACAATACAATAACAGTATTAGTAATAATATTTAAGTGTCTGGGACCCCCATTTTGTTTTTCAGGACCCCTGAGGAAATTATGAGCATGAGTCCCAGGGTAAAATGAATTAAAATGAACGTTTAGCAAAATTGTCTACACCTCTGAGTGTAATATGTTCTTGCAGGTGCCGACATCGCCAACATCTGCAATGAGGCTGCCATCCATGCTGCCAGGGAAACCAAGAAACTGGTGGATGCTGCTGATTTCGAGTATGCCGTGGAGAGAGTTGTGGCTGGTGAGGAGATAGATGTAGTTGCAGATGGAGATGTGGGTGGAACCTAAAACAATTACCGTATACTACCGTCTATAAGCCGACCCCATAGATAAGCCAACCCCTAAACTTGACCCTTAAATCAGTGTCAAAATGGTTTGTTTCGTACATAAGCCGATCCTCTGCGATGGGGTCCTAATCGCGGCTAACACAGACCACAGACAACTGGCAGTTACCAATAATTATAATTTTGGTCCACATTATTCAAAGAATTCACAGTCATAAACATTGCATCTACTCACGCATCAAAACGAAGTGTAGCTGACAGAAAATACATAATATATTTTGTTCTCTAAATATAATACTTATTGTAGCAAGAAACTGGCTGGCTTATTTTACCCCATTCAACAATCACGAACTGATACAGGTGTGCTATTGATTCATTTACCTGTGCTGAGCCTTTCTTGCTCACCTGGCTGTTCCTCTCTCTGCACTCCTCCCTTGTATCACATAGTGAACTGTGTCAGTATTTTAATGATAGTTATTATCCCCCGCAACACGTTTTGCGGGGGGTATTAAAATGGACCCTGTCCGTGCGTGCGTGCGTGCATCCGTCCGTCCGTCCGTGCACATTTGTCTTTTCCGGAACAGAACTCTAAAACCATTCAATATTTCTTCACCAAACTTGGCACATAGATAGATCTGGTGGTGTACTGGTGCCTTTTGGTAGTTTTGGAATTCTGAATAAAATATTTTTGGCGTTTCCATGGCAACAAGTTCGACTTAGACTGAAATTGGTGGTAGTGCTCTTTTCCGGAGCAGAACTCTAAAACCGTTCAATATTTCTTCACCAAACTTGGCACATAGATAGATCTGGTGGTGTACTGGTGCCTTTTGGTAGTTTTGGAATTCTGAATAAAATATTTTTGGCGTTTCCATGGCAACAAGTTCGACTTAGACTGAAATTGGTGGTAGTGCTCTTTTCTGGAGCAGAACTCTAAAACCGTTCAATATTTCTTCACCAAACTTAGCACATAGATAGATCTGGTGGTGTACTGGTGCCTTTTGGTAGTTTTGGAATTCTGAATAAAATATTTTTGGCATTTCCATGGCAACAAGTTAAACTTAGCCTGAAATTGTGGTAGTGCTCTTTTCTGGAGCTGAACTCTTAAACTGTTCACTATTTCTTTACCAAACTTTGCACATAGATAGATCTGGTGGTGTACTGGTGCCTTTTGGTAGTTTTGGAATTCTGAATAAAATATTTTTGGCGTTTCCATGGCAACAAGTTCGACTTAGCCTGAAATTGTGGTAGTGCTCTTTTCCGGAGCTGAACTTTAAAACTGTTCACTATTTCTTCACCAAACTTGGCACATAGATAGATCTGGTGGTGTACTGGTGCCTTTTGGTAGTTTTGGAATTCTGAATAAAATATTTTTGGCATTTCCATGGCAACAAGTATGACTTAGCCTGAAATTGGTGATAGTGCTGCTTTCTGGAGCAGAACTTTAAAAACCTTTCAATACTCTCCTTCCACTTTTCTGTATACACACCTAAATATTTGACATAATCATAACTCTTAGACATAATCATGAAGAGTATTTTGCCCATGCGGGGGATATTGATGACTTTGTCTTCTTGTTTATTATTAAGTCATAATTAATGAAATTCAAAATTCACAATGGTAGAACAATTATAATGTGTCATGCCAAATTGGAAAATGATTGTACTTGTAGTTTTTTAGGTAAAGTGATCAAACACCATCACGAACAGTTTTCTGCCAGACTGTAGAACTATTGACAGAAAAATGGTTGCCCAAAGTTTCAACTCCTTCCAGACCTGTTGCATCAGTCAAGTTTGGTTCAGATATGTTGTTGATTAGGTGTAATAATTACTTTGTGTTATTGTGTACACATGCAGCAGAATGAGAAGGGCATGTTTACACATGGATATCGTTCAGGTATTAATCTCTACAACTGTGATAGAAAATACTAGGATTCTGGAAACAAGTCCAGAAGTAGGATCCAATGACAGATTAGGAGACATTTTTGCAGTTGAACACATCTGATCATCAATTGATCCAGCACAAGAAAACCTTATACATAGCACATGGTTGAACAGTAGCCAGATGTTCCTCAAGTTAAACCATCATGCTTTGCTCTGAGCAACGAAGTGGCCTGTTGGATCAGTGTGTCTGTTACTCTATTGCAGGTGTGGAGAAGAAGACTCGCCTTCTCTCCCCCACAGAGAAGAAGATTGTGGCTTACCACGAATCAGGTCATGCTCTGGTTGGCTGGCTCCTCAAGTACACAGATGCTCTGCTCAGGGTAAGTGGGGTTACACTGATGTTCTGCTCAGGGTAAGTGGGATACACAGATGTTCTGCTCAGGGTAAGTGGGTTACAGGGATGTTGCTGCTCAGGGTAAGTGGGATACACAGATGCTCTGCTCAGGGTAAGTGGGATACACAGATGCTCTGCTCAGGGTAAGTGGGATACACAGATGTCTGCTCAGGGTAAGTGGGATACACAGATGCTCTGCTCAGGGTAAGTGGGATACACTGATGTTCTGCTCAGGTAGGTAAGTTGGATACACAGATGCTCTGCTCAGGGTAAGTTGGATACACAGATGCTCTGCTCAGGGTAAGTGGGATACACAGGGTGTTGGATACTGCTCAGGGTAAGTTGGATACACAGATGCTCTGCTCAGGGTAGGGTACACAGATGCTCTACACTGATGCTCTGCTCAGGGTAAGTTGGCTCAGGGTATACACACTGATGTTCTGCTCAGGGTAAGTTGGATACACAGATGTTCTGCTCAGGGTAAGTTGGATACAGATGCTCTGCCCAGGGTAGATGTGAAACAGATGCTTCCCCAAGGGGATTATCTGCTGATTGTAGGTGACATGGTTGACACATGTCATTGTATCCCATCGATGCTCATGATGTCAGTCACTGATGCAATAAACAAACAAACAAATATCAACAAAGCATTACTGTTGTCCAAGGTGCTACAATTTGCTGTGCAGTGTTGTCTGGAACCTGTGATTGTGGGTTTGAATCCAGGTTTGCTGCTGATTATGTTTATTGGTTAGTCGACCTGTGAAGATCCGGGTTAGAATTGATCTTCAGTAACCAGTGCTTGTTGTGAGAGGCGACTAACAGGATCGGGTGGTCAGGCTCGCTGACTTGGTTTACACATGTCATCGGTTCCCAATTGCGCAGATCGATGCTCATGATTTTGATCACTGGATTGTCTGGTCCAGACTCGATTATTTACAGACCACCGCCATCTAGCTGGAATATTGCTGAGTGCAACGTTATACAACCCACCATACCTCTATTCTAGGTTAGTCTGTGCTATGTTCATGCTATGTTTCACCAAAGCTGTAAACGGCTCAGATGTACATCACCTCGGGCTCCTCTCCCACAGCAAGCTGAAGAGTCATAATGTAACTGAAATGATTCAAAGTCATGTTAAACTCAACCAGGGGTTCAAATTTTTTTTAAAAAGTCACTTGCCACAGGGCAAGATTAACCTGATTTTATGAAATAATCATGATGATGTAATTATGAAAGAATAAATCAACATGGTATTTGATGATAATGTTTACTGGACTATTTATTGAAAAGTGATAAATAGCAAAGAAAGATAACTCTGCTTTATTATCATTGCGAAATTTAACAGCTACATTTTGAGCAGATATGAAATTAAATCCAAGTTTATTTGCAGTTTGAAACCGTAAGTGGAAATTATCTAGTAGCCCACAGACAAGTAAGATACCATTATTTGATTGCCCGAAATGAAAACTGACTTGTCCCGGGCGTCGGGCTGTAGGATTTTGAACCCTGAACTCAACTCAACTCTTTCAGATATCCATCGTGCCAAGAACCAACAGTGCTTTGGGATTTGCTCAGTACATGCCGTCCGACCAGAAGCTGTATTCTTCTGATGAGGTGGGTGAAGGGGATGTCCCAGTATCAGTTATACAAATAATCCCCATTTCATTAAAATTTTCAGGTGGGGATTTTCAGCCAGAGTAACCCTCCTGAACTTTATATTTGTGTAGCGATATAATGGACACAAATCAAAATTATTGTAAACACAAACTTAAACATCGTCCGTCACAGATATGACTTTGATTTGCAGTTAAATAGACTGGCGTTGACATTTGCATCTTTATGGTTTCCCCAGAAGGGAAACAACAAAATCCTGATGTACATTTAGGGATTCCATACTCATTATTTATGCACTCATTTATTACCTTAGTTTTAAACTTGAGACAGTTTTCCATAGTGGTTATTGTGCGTTTTTCAGCTGTTTGAGAGGATGTGTATGGCGCTTGGAGGTCGGGCAGCTGAGGCAATCATCTTCAACCACGTAACAACGGGTAAGGGAGACAACTTACCATAAACTGTTGATTGTAAGTCTGTTGAAAATTCATCAAGTATCCCATTGTTCTGGACAGTTGGTTTGAATATTTTTTCGACCATACCAAGAAATATTACAGGTGTTTCTCAAATTCAAAATGACACTCTTATCTCAGTCAGTGAATAATTCACCCCACATTGACTTGTTATCTGATTAACTCAAACTACCTTGACTATTTACTTCTGGGACTGAATAACATCCTCCACTGACTTATTTTTCAGGAGCTCACGATGACCTCCAGAAGGTGACCAAAATGGCGTTTGACCAGATCCGATCGTATGGCATGAATGACAGGGTGGGGTATCTGTCTTTCCCCCCAGAGTCCGACGACACCCTCGGCACCAAGCCCTACAGCAAGAGGCTGGCAGCCATCATGGATGAGGTACAAAGCATGTCCCTGTATTTCCTACAGAATCCATTTACAGATCTGTTTACTCCTGCAGTTACGCTGTAGTTCAGGGGGCGGTGCATTCTCTTCCCACAGAGGTTACTTGTCATATCTTCCTACGAACCTCTGTTTTAATACGGCCCTTTCATGGTGCGAGTGTTCAGGATTCGTGATTGGTTGCAATCAGATTTAGTTGTGCAATCAGCGACGTTGTTTCAATGTGATCATTCACAAGGTCTCAGTAATTTCCGTGTACTTCTGAAAACCTAGAACCTCTTCCGCTGCGTGATGCGCAAACGTTTCTTCTAGACAGAACTCAGTTATGTAATAGCGGATCAATGGCGTCTCCATCGCCCTCGTTGACAACGGACAAGCTAGCCATTAAAAGCATTGTGTGTCACATCAACACAAGTCCCCGCAGAGGAGGGATATTTGTGACCCCACATTTGCTTGTATTAGTCAAGCTGGATCTAAGTGGATGTAACTCGTGTTCTAATTGGATAGAAAGAAGGGAGATACTTCGTGTTGCGATTTTTTGCCGCTAGGGTATTTTACGAGAACCGGGAAATATGGCCGTATTAGAACAGAGGTTCGTAGGAAGATATGACAAGTAACCTCTGTGGGAAGAGAATGGGGCCGGTGGGGTAGCCTAGTGGTTAAAGCGTTCGCTCTTCACACCAAAGACCCGGGTTCGATTCCCCACATGGGTACAATTTGTGAAGCCTATTTCTGTTGTCCCGTGATATTGCTGGCATATTGCTAAAAGCGGTGTAAAACCATGCTTACTCACTCACTCAATGTAGTTCAGATTTTGAATAAAAATATAGAGAATGAAAATGGTCTGTATGTTTTGTAGACCATGATGTTATAAAAGCTATCCCTGCACATATCTTAATTTGGGTTGGGATTATGCATTTCATCATTACTAACTGTGCGTCGATAGAGATAACCGCCTAGATGGCACATCTCAAAGTATTATTCACCACCATGACAGTTTCCATTGAAGTATCTGTTGTGGGGCAGTCCTGATCCCAGGAATCATTCATATTGCTGTGACTATATACCTTATCCTTTGGTTATTTATGTGATTTACGAAACTGGCAAGGTTTAAATCACTTGGTTAAAATAAAAGCCAATGATCCTATAAGGTGATGTATTGTCAGCTATATTCTTAGGTAGGACTTATGAAATGGAAGACAGATTATTTTTATTATATTAACTACAGAAGGAGGTTATGCTTGTTTCCAGGAGGCAAGGAACTTGGTGAACCGAGCTTACCATCACACAGTGGAGATCCTGGGAAACAACAAGGAGAAGCTTCACACTGTGAGAATGCATTGCTACTTGTAGAGCTGACAAATATGATGGCTTCTGATGCCCGGTGGGGTGGTGGGGTAGCCTAGTGGTTTAAGCGTTTGCTCATCACGCCAAAGACCCGGGTTCGATTCCCACATGGGTACAATGTGTGAAGCCCATCCTGCCATGATATTGCTGGAATATTGCTAAAAACGGCATAAAACTGAACTCACTCACTGACATGCCCGTTGTACACGGGGCTGTGGGCGAGCTGGCTAAGGCCAGGCTAGTGATCCAGCGAGGTTGAGGTGTCGGGATCGAGCCCACCTGTGACCGGTATAAAACCTTGGAGTCAACTTTGTGTGCAGACTCTTTCAGTGTTGTCACAACCCCTAGTGTACAGTACACAACCCTGTGCACTTAAAAGAACCCACGAATCCGTTGGTATTTGACCAGATGGTGGCCACATGAATACGTGCAAACACCTAGTTGCGGGTACAGCAACGCAGTGAACATGGACAAAGTACTGTGACTATGTGTCCCAGTCCACCCAGCTGTGAATGGGAACCTCGTTAGGATGAGAAAGCCACAATAACTTCGGAAAGCTAGTGGCTGCAAGAGTTGTATACTCCCCAGGAGTTGAGATTGATAATGCGATGTGCCGTTGAGATTGACATCCAATGATCGAGGGAAAAATACCAGCCTTTGAGCATGTACTAGGCGCGTGGATATAAGCCATATAAATATCCTATATATATATATACACTTCACCGCCATTTAATGATGTTGGGTTCAAATATGATTCTCAGTCTGTGGACTACCAGAACTCAGTGGTCAAGCCCACTGACTTGGTTAGTGCATGTCATTGTATCCTAGTGCTCATGGTGTCAATCACAGGATTGTCTGATTCAGGCTCAATTATTTACAGACAACCATCATGTAGCTTGAATATTGTCGAGTGAAGCATTAAACAACAAACAATCAGTCTGTGACCAGTGCTCAAAATATTTATTGCCTGTATGACTGTGCGCTTTCCTTGCAGGTTAAGCTGACAATGTTTATGTAACTGACATATTGTTAATATTGTCTTTCAAATCACACCTGTTTGTTGTTTGCAACCTAGCCCCATACTAAGAGGTTTCTCTGTGTAACATGTGATGTGCATGAAACGAGGATACTAAAACCACTTACTCACCCACTCACTCACTCACTCTAATTGTGTTTCAGCTGGCTTCCACACTGCTCAAGGCTGAGGTTCTGACATACGCTGACATTGAGAAGCTGATTGGTCCCCCACCACATGGGAAGAAGAACACAATAGAGCCACACGGCTGGGAGGGAATCATGCCTGAAAATAATGACGTAGCCCCCGAGAAACGGAGGAGGAATAGTGGCAGGAAATCCAAACGGGAACAGTTGTGATCACTGACTCAATCATACCGACAAACTTGCGCCATTCTCAGGCAGGCTGTGGAAAATGAGACTCGGTTCACACCTAATACAAGTATTATGGATTACCTTATACTGATGGCCATGGTGACAGGGTTAGACATAGCCTGTTATCCCTGGGATGAGCGAAAATGCAAACTGAACAAGCTTCTGGTCAGTATTTGAAATGAAACATGAAAGTCAATAGAACCCTTGTCAGAAAGCTAATCACAACAGCTCAACTGTTTGGCTGTTACTAGATTCATGAACCTGGTTCGTTCTGTAAGTTCAAACAGCTAGTTGTTACTCTCAAATTCAATCATGACACAGTGTGTGCGATTTGAAATAGCTGTACATCCTTAATTCTCCAGTGAGTAGGTTCTCCATTCTATTGTGGCAAATACAGTCGTGCCCCGTTTATCCGGACACTAAAGTCTTGTATTTTTCTTGAAATTGTCCGGATAAACGAATTTCGGATATCTGAACCACAGATGTCAACGACAAGGGGACATCTAGCATTGCCAAACACCACTCAAAATTAACTCAGTGTCACCTTGCTAATTAAGACTGCTGACTTCTGTATGTTAGGGCTCGCAGAAACCACTCAGTAAAATGCATGTGTAAACATACTGACAGGTACTCAGACATCCGGATATAACGGTGAAATAATGCATATAATTTAGCGTTTTGTATGTGAAAATGACCATCTGGTTACTGAAACCGGGTTTCCGGATAAATGAGTAATTTTACAACATTCGTTTTAAGGAATGTTCATTCGGAAGGCGAGTTTTCCGGATGTCTGAGGTTCAGATAAACGGGGCACGACTGTACACAGGACCCATTACTTTTGCTTGTTGGAAAACTTTGTGTGTGTATTTTAAGCACCATGTTGTTAGAATTGGGCTCAAAGCCATGGCAACAAATCTGTCCAGGGTGTTATCTTGGAATGGAGATATTACACCCTGCATCATCGAGGATGGGTCCTGTCAGCATCTGATATATCTGGTAAATGTAATCGTATATGCCACCTGAAAGTATACATGAAATATAAATATATCTAATTATCCAGCCTCTAACTGAAATCTCACACCCTGAGAACTGAATGATGCGTGCTAGCCATTGGCATTGTGTGTGCTTGAAAATAATTTATACTGTGTGCTGGAGATTTGTACATACTGAAAACTGAGACAAATATGAGAATAAATTTCTTACGTTGCTGCATTTGTTCTGTGTGTTCATTGTCTGTAGTGGATGAGATGTGCTGTAGATGGGAGATCATCTACTCTGAAAGTGGTTCTAGATTCATGTAGACTATGCTTAGTCTCTGAATAAATATATTCTGTTACAAATTGAAATTGAAAAGGACCCCATTGAGCTCAGAGATTCAGAACCTGAACCTGGGTAATCTAGACTTGCTTCAAATAGAACTTTTGCCTTGCAGAAAGGGTTAGGCAGATGGAAAAATATTGTGGTTCAGGAACTATAAGACAGACTATGGTTCATGCAGGGATGCCAACCTCTATGATTTTATCGTAGTCAGCTACGAATTTTAGCCTCAAACTACGCCAATACGATTGCACTAGAAATTCTACGAAATCTGAAGAAAATTCATTAAAATTTGGATATATAGACCAAAAAATATATCTTTGTCGATTAAATACATTTTCGGAATTCACTTACCCTCCATTCATCAAATTTAATGACATATTTGAACTGGAATCATTGCAAGTAACAAACGTAATTTTAATTTTTCCTTATCCTGACTCATGCTCTTTTGCTTGTCCCCTTCCTCTTGCGAACATAGTGGAACACTTGTATCTCCTTAATTGAAGCTCCCTTCAATGTAAAATCACTAATTGGTACTCACCCACGAGTTACCTCCCCTGCCGTAAGCGCGGGAACAGGTGTCGCCACCCTCTGGCCTCATGCTTCACTCTCTCCTTCTTCGCCCAGTGAGCAGGATGTGAGAGCGCCTGTGTCTCCTTACACACTATATCCTTTGGTTTTTCTTAGTTAGTTACCTTTTATAGTTTACTATAAAGGTATAGCTAGTATCCTTCAGTTATTTGCGTTAATAATTAATCGTATTTCTACTGTTTATTCACGTGAGTTCGTGATTGTTCAGCTAGTTTTACATTGATGAAAAACTGTACTATTTGTAGATTACGTTTTTCCGCTGCGGATCCGCATGTGGTATGCCCTAGTTGTACTACGCCTTGTGCGTTTGACTCACGTTGCAGTTACTGCATAAATTTAACCAATTCTGCCTTTGATAAATACCATCTTTGCGTCTTGAGACGTGTTGCAGATAGGTCACGCAAACTAGGTGTAGACATGGCCGATACGTCGGATTGCCCATCCAGTCAACTGCTGTCGAGTGATCCCCTCCCGTCTGGTGTTCTGCTTGAGACCCCATCGGAAGAGGGACGTGGGATGCAGTCCGTCACCTCTAAGAAGCGACCGGCCTCTCCAGACATCCAGTCATCGCAGACAAAGTCCAAGAGGGCCTCAACGTCTTCTCAACGCAGACTTCGTACCCCCAGGGCAGCGTCTTCCTCCAAAGGGAAATCTACGAAGTCATCGAGAACTTTCTCAGACGAGATCGTTCCAGCAGCAGAATTGGGCCTCTACGATGACCAGCCGATCATCATACCCGACATACGCCACAAGAAGCGACCAGTGACAGCGACAGTGACGTCAGCAGAGATCAACAAGCAGCCTGATGCCTCTACACTGATGTCAGACGAGATCGCTGAGGGCCCCACCGCTAACACAGCAGAAAGGGCACCATCTACTACGTCGCAGATCATCCCAAACGATCTTATGAAACAGATCATGATTATGATGGAAGGCCACTATAGACTGGAGAAGCAGCCATCCCAGGGTCCGAGCCTTCGCGAAGGCTCCAACGTAGACAGCACCCCAGGGGCACCATCTGTCAACGTAGCAGCCACGACAATGCAGCCTTCGCGAAGGAAGTCACAGACCACCTCGACGAAGGACCCAGATGTACAGCCTTCGCGAAGGCCTTCGCGAAGGCGGGAAGAATCATCACCTTCTTCGGCGTCATACTCAGATATGGAATCTGATCACCAGACCACACGCAAGCCTTCGCGAAGGTCATATCATCGTTCCCCAGGACCGGACGCATACGAAGCTTCGCGAAGGCGTTCGCGAAGGACACCTGAACCCAGATCGTCTTCATCTAAAAGATCAGCAAGGGACTACACAAGAGCTTCGCGAAGCTATCAGTCCCCTCATAGATCGCCAAGAAGGTCAACCTATCGATATAGATCACCAAGACGATCACCTCGCCGATCACCACGTCGATCACCTCACAGGTCTGCACATAAGCCTACAACTAGATCTCCACAAGCGTCAAACGATATAGAGATAGAGCCACACAGCCCTACATCAGAAGAGCAACAACCTCTTATCTATGATGATGGAATGGAAGATGATGGAGGAATTATTTTCTCAGATGCAGAGATAAGATATTGGATGGTCAATAATCTAGATCTCTCATCACCTTCCAAGAGTGGCAATAAGGCGCAGACTTATCTGATGAAAGAAGATGACGCAGATGCTATTACACTACCCCCAATCGACCCGATTGCGGCGGTACCTCAGAACCTAGATACAGCATTTAACAAAGCCACAAAGGTTCAGACGCCACATCTGCCAAATTTCAGCGCCAAGAAGTTCTCCACGCATAATATGGAACCCTTCTTCAAAGCGCAAGACATCGATGAGAACTATAAGCTGATCTCCGATGCCAAGAACAAGTACTACAAGATTGATGATCGGAAATTGGTTCAGATAGAAACCATGACGAGGCGTATGTTCTTCGGTCTAAATAGATCTAGAACAATAAATGAGACACTTATCTCCAGATTTCGGAACACGACCTCTGAAGATGACAGAATGATTTACTCGGCCCTACTGATGCAAAAGAAGGACCAGCAGTTTTTAACAGATCATCTGACGTCTGTCTCAGCAGCACTGACCTTAGCTCGTCGTCAAGGCCTCCTAGCTTCCTGCAACTGGGGTGAGAACTTTACAGCTCCACTATATACAGCCCCGTGGTCTTCCCCATCCATATTTGACGGAGGAATAGACACAGTCTCCAAAGAAGTCACCAAGGATTCTAGAGAAGTCCTGATGATTAAATCGATGGACACGCTAGCCAGTGTCATTCGACAGACTTCACAAAGATACTCAGGGAGATCTAAATTCACGGGCCTACAAAGAGCTAGAGACAGGAAGATTGCCAGTTCCAGGGGAAGAGATTCTTTTCGTCGCCCATATGGCAACTATAGAGGAGGGTCAGGACGAGGCAGGACACCCAGAGGTTCCCGCAACTATAAACGCTGAAAGACAGGTTCGGAACGACTGGAGTCTTCCACCCCCAGCCGTTCCAGTACAACCGTCACAAGTGGGTGGACGTCTTCAACTACACTGGGAAAACTGGGGAATACTTCAAGACACCTATGTCTCCAACATTCTTCAACGCGGATTTCGTATCCCACTACAGGCCAAGCCTCCACTAACAGTCAACCCTCACAAGTTCGAGGTAGAGGCACAACAACTACTAAAGTTAAGAGAGGCGGTTACATTACTCCTAACCAAGCAGGCCATAGAAGTAATAGAGCAAGGAAACATCGAACCAGGTTTCTACTCCCCAGTTTTCCTAGTACCCAAGAAGAACTCCAAGGAGAAATACAGACTCATTTACAACATGAGCTTCTTCAACAAGACTTACTTAAACAAACCACCCAGGTTCACTATGATACATCTACCGCAGCTACGGCAGATGATTCGCCCCATGGACTACATGGGCAGTATAGATCTACAAGATGCTTATCTGCACATCCCAATACATCCCGAATCCAGGAAATACCTTCGGTTTACGCTAGACGGGTTACATTACCAGTGGAAAGTACTCCCATTCGGAATAGCATCAGCCCCATGGTTATTCACGAGGATAACGAAACCGATTGTTATCTATCTACATCGTCAAGGGCTACGCAGTGCGTTCTTCCTCGACGACGGGATACAAGTAGATCAAGATCCACAGCATCTCAAACTACAGTTAAACTACATCATAAAGCTACTAACACAGCTGGGATGGTTAGTAAACTTACACAAGTCGGACCTAGTACCATCGCAAGATCTGCAATTCCTAGGAATCCGATTTATCACCAATCTCAACCGTATAGTCGTACCAGAAGACCGTTGGCTCAAGATCCAACAGATCATTCCACCAGCTCTACTGTCACCGCTACCACTTCGACAATGGCAGAGCTTACTAGGTCTTCTAACATCAGCCCAAGACTTGACAGTCATAGGCAGATTACAGTTACGTCCGTTACAGGTCTTCGTCAATACACATCTCGACGACCTACAACCATTCAGTCTACCGATACATCTCAGACCTCATCTATTATGGTGGACAAAGAAATCGAATGTCTGCGAAGGGATTTGTTTAGCAGAGCAGGAATTCAAGACCCATCTATATGTAGACGCGTCGCTCCAAGGTTGGGGAGCTCATCTCTCCAACCGGACGGCATCAGGGTTATGGACTCAGCTAGAAAGCAAACTCCACATAAACGCATTAGAGATGAAAGCTGTAATCAACGCCATAAGACATTGGAGCAACATTCTACAGAATGCGCACCTGATGATACATACCGACAACTCGACAGTGGCGTTTTATGTGAACAGACAAGGCTCAACGAGATCGCCGAACCTTTTGAATTTAACCTTTCAACTGTTCGAATTAATCCAAGATCTAAATCTACATGTCAAAGCATGCCACATTCCCGGAGCCAGGAATATACTAGCAGACGCACTCTCTCGGCCACATCTACCGTCGCCGACAGAATGGATGCTCAATACAGAGATATTTGCACAGATAATCAAGCAAATAGGAGCGCCGCTAGTAGATCTATTCGCCACAAGGTTCAACAATCAACTACCGACATTCGTGTCACCAGTGCCAGACCCACAAGCATGGGCAACAGACGCTCTAAGCATTTCATGGGAAGGCCTCAATGCGTACGCGTTTCCGCCCCCAGCAATAATACCTCTAGTATTACAGAAAATCAACCAAACGCAGAGCCTACAACTCACTTTGGTCGCGCCCTATTGGCCGGCCAGAACGTGGTTTCCCGCCTTAATACAAGATATCGGTCAACCGGCACTAGAACTACCCAAGCGCGCAAACCTGTTAATACATCCTCACACCAAACAGGTGCACAGAAACCCAGAAGTATTCAAACTTCACGTATGGACTGTATTAAAATGTGTTTAAACAAGAGAGGATATTCTACCAGGGCGGCAAAAGCGGTCACGCTTGCCTTACGATACTCAACGCGTAACTTGTACGATGACAAGTGGCAAAGTTTCGAAAATTATGCAACAAACAAGGGTTTTACAGCGAGAGATGCTACGCATCCTCAAGTGGCAGACTATTTGTGTTACTTACGGCAAAACAAACATTTAAAAGGCTCGACATTGTCAACATATCTTGCCGCGCTTAGTTCTGTGATTTCTATGAGAACGGGTGTTAAATTAACAAGAACACCAGAGTTACTGGCCTTACTACGTGCTTTCCGATTGGAGGACCAAAAGCGGAAATTCCACGCCCCAGCTTGGGATCTGAATGTAGTTTTACGACACCTCACAAGTGAGGATTACGAACCATTGGAATCGACAACGTTTGAATTTCTCTCACAGAAAACAGTCTTCCTGTTATCGCTAGCCACGGCAGCCAGAATATCTGAAATTCATGCTCTAGATTATGAGAGGATACAGTTTGATGAAAATCAAAAGACAGCGCACCTGGGATTAAGATGGGATTTCATCGCTAAAAAATCAACTACCAGGTCAACCAGACAGGTTATTTCACATCCCTGCGCTATCCTCAATTCTTGGATCTCAAGATACATTGGACTTATCTCTATGCCCAGTACGAGCTCTCATAATCTATTTACGTCGTTCCAAAACAAGGCGAAGATCGCTCAGAAGATTGTTCATCCCGTTATCGCCTACAAATCAGACAGAAGTCTCTCGTACCACCATATCAATATGGATAAGAACTGTCATTTTACGCGCCTATAAGGCAGCAGGACTGGACCCTCCAACAGCATCAAATCCCCATGAAATCAGGGCATTGGCATCCACCCTCGCCCTTCATGGTAACTGTTCATTGAATACAATTATGGAAGGATGCTTTTGGAAATCTAACATGGTGTTTGCTAATCACTATCTCAGAGATATCACCACCGAGGACGTCTCTGGCATTCATCATTTCGGTCCTTTGGTCCTCGCTCAGCAATTGACAGTCCCTCGTAGGCGTTAATATTCACCCCCACGAGATTATTAGATATATGATACATATATTCACTAGCTTATAACTCCATGGAGTTCTAGGGCTATGTACATATTTAGCTTAGGTTATTCAACCTTAAGCTCATACTGAGTTATATTCAGTGTACAGCTACGTTAGAGTAGCAGTTTATATATATATATTGATATATCAGTATATTAGTAAGGTAATACCCCACTTATAGTGTATATATCTATGGCTTATTATAAGGAAATATCCTAAGTCTCAATGCCTTATGAAGTTCCCGCAGGGGTTATTACAATATCACTTACTTAAATCACTAATTAATCCAAAGTATTCTGTTTACCCACCACCTCTCCGGTGGATTCTACAAGCAAAAGAGCATGAGTCAGGATAAGGAAAAATATGTAATTTTCTGAGTAAAATTGATATTTTATACTTATCCTGACTCATGAGGTTAGCCCTCCCATCCTCCCACATAACACTTTGGATTTCCTGTAAATTCAAGTGTTGGGCTCGCAAAATCAGGAGAGAGTGAAGCATGAGGCCAGAGGGTGGCGACACCTGTTCCCGCGCTTACGGCAGGGGAGGTAACTCGTGGGTGAGTACCAATTAGTGATTTTACATTGAAGGGAGCTTCAATTAAGGAGATACAAGTGTTCCACTATGTTCGCAAGAGGAAGGGGACAAGCAAAAGAGCATGAGTCAGGATAAGTATAAAATATCAATTTTACTCAGAAAATTACATATTTGGGCCCATTGGAATGTAAATTTGAAGGCCCAGACATTTTGTTTTATATCATAAGCATGGAATGTTTTATTGGTATCTGTGATTGTCAGCTTTGGTCAGTGACTTGCTGATGGTTAAATATAAGAAACTTCTTCCCGAAAAAGCTCTATCATCATGCTCAAACTTCAGTAGAGGAATTAAAAGGTTAGTTCTTATTCATATGCATATATCTGATAAAGTTGATAACAGTTTCTAAATATGTTTAACTTTTGCTTGGTCTTTATTTTTTGCAGTTTTTCATAGCCAATTACCTCATCCTTTCAGAACTAACAAAGTGTTCCGTGGTATTTGTCTTATGTATGTCAATGTTCAAAACAGTAAGAATCTGATGTAGTGTGGTTTGATATTAACAGGATCCAGACTAACAAGGTTTAATTGTAGCAGGAACTGTAACTTTAAGTTGTGTTAATTCCAACTCACTCATGCACTGTTCTACTGTAATTCAACTGTTGGTGCCAAAATACCCCGAGGATTGTGGGTACTTTCCCTGACCCTATTCTGATCTGAAGAGGTGACCAAATGAATTGGTTGTGACTTGGATGATTGCATATCGTTGTAATTTACCCTTGGTCACTGCTAGACTAACATCTTCTCTCGTATTCATAAAATATAAAAAAAGGAGCGCAGAAACTTTATTCATTTTAAGGAAGCTGAACTGTGGTAATCTAGACCTGCAAGGGTATACAGTGTTTCAGGGACTGTATGACAGACTAGGTCATTGCAAACAATGTTGATCACTGGATTGTCTCAACCATGCTCGATTATATACATCATGAAGCTGGAATATTGTTGAGAGATGCATTATACAAGGAACAGACATGCCACAGTATACTTCATTTACCACCTTGCACCACAGACAGGGGCGGATACAGCTTTTTGAGAAAGAGGTGTTTGCGTGCGTGTGTGTGTGTGCGCGCACGCACAGTTCACAGTTCATTTTCACGAGAGTTTCAATGGTCATTTTAATAAACGTTTAGGACAAAATGGGGGATGACAGACAGCTCGACTGTTGGTTTACAGACCACCTTGATAATATATACAATAAGCAGACAAACAACTAGGACCGATCGAAAAGTTGCTGTAAAAAGTCTCATTATATCATGGTCTGTATATTATTTTGACTCAGTCACACAACATTGCAAATTTTGAAAGGAAATGAAATTTGATTCATGCTGTAAGTTACTAAAAGCATATCCACATTTTTTCAAAAGACTTTGGGTAATTAAAAAAAAAGGTGAAATCACTTTGGAAAATCAAATTAAGTCCTGAAACTTGTAAAAAGGTATTTGGAGCGCACATAAAATATAAATATTCGCTATTTTGTTATTAAGGGGAGGTCACTCTAACATTCTGTATTTCTCATCCACAACATGCTGACATCGGGATATGGAAGCAAATTCAAAAACCGATTGTCCTGTTTGCGGGAAGTCCTTCCCATCTTCTTTCATAAACACACATGTGAATGAATGTCTGAATCTGTCAAATGTCGAATCAACAGAGGACGACACGATGTCAAAGTCGAACAAGCGAAAGTCAAGTGACAGGTCAGAAGACAAGGGATGGGGGTTTTTCAGACAGAGAAGTGTGTCAAAAAAGGCGAAACTTTCCGAAAGTACAAAAACTAAATCGAAACAAGAACTTGAACTGAAAGAAAGTGACAAAACTAATTATGACAGTGATGATGATGTCTCCATATTAATAAACGATGACGATGATCAACATTCAGTAAAATCCCCAAAGTTCAAAACATCGGCAACAACGCATCAGACATCGAACATCAAAGACATTTTTCATAGTTCAATTCCAAACCGAAATTCATCTAGTTCATCCAGTCATTCAAATACAACACAAGCCAAGCCGTCAAGCAGTAACAGCAGCAAGAACAAGTTTGCACCCTTGGCGGAGCGGATGAGGCCCATCAGCCTTGACAAGTACGTAGGGCAAACAAAGGCTGTGGGCAGAGACAGCCTTCTCCACTCCCTGCTGCAAGGCAATCACATCCCCTCCATGGTGCTCTGGGGACCCCCTGGCTGTGGAAAGGCAAATACCTTTTGTCTTTTATAAAGATTTATTGAGTGAATTAATGAGTTAAATTTTAAATTTGTATTCACATTATTTAAGCAATTTTACTCAATACATAATACATACAGAATGTATGCGAAACAAATTTACAAGGGACCATTCTTAATTTATGATGATTTTTATGGAGAAGCATGTACAATGTGAATTTATGTACAAGGCAAGTGACCCCGCCTGCATGTCATGTACAAAATCAGTACATGTGTACAAAATTGATGACCCCCTACCTCCACAGAACGAAATGGGTGACACGCCACCTTAAAATCGTCATCCACATCAGGATTGACAGACACAAATATGAACACAACAGTACAAAATGTGTGACATTATTGTGAGCAATAAAGTAAAACAAATCCCAGCCATTGTATTATCAGCCAATCAGAAACCTGAATAGTTGAATTTATTGAAACATGAACACAAAACCAATTGCTTGTTAAGCAATTACAATAGCACCAATTGCGTTGGCAATGTTAAGCCATTTCCATCAGTCTTAATGCCATCTGGGCATCCATGAAATCACTTGCTATGTATTTATATTAATGCATAATTTATGTCACAGTTTAATTCAGATTGTCAAGAAGGCTCTGGGTTGTTTTACTCACTGTTATATGCATATATTCTTAAGTACCCGGGTGAGCTACAGAACAGGCACTATGTTTTCTGTCAAATTCCAATTCCTGACTTTGATGGCGCCATACACTTTCAGACAACTCTAGCCCGGATTATCGCCAATAACTGTAAGTCTCACAGCAACGTCAAGTTTGTTCAGCTGTCTGCAGCAGCGGCAGGGATCAGCGATGTGAAACAGGTAGTCACCGTCGCCAAGAACGACCAGAAGATGTTCAAGAAAGAAAACTATATTGTTTCTGGATGAAATACACAGATTCAACAAAACGCAGCAGGTAGGACTTGTATTTGATTCACCATGCAGTTGTTATGTCATATCATCCCATTGTGTTCTGATAGGAAGTATATTCACACTAGTCTAAAATAAGTGCATATCTCTGAGATATGCCGAAACAATTTCACTAACCTTCAGTTTGTGTAGCTAGTCTGGAATGAGACACTATGTTTCCATTTTCTGTTAGTTTTCTCCAGCCCCAGTTTATAGTGACATATAATGCATTGAAAACCAATTCAGAATAATACTAATAGCCCTCAGATGTTACAACTGAATGAAGACCACCGTTGTAGGTTTTCTACCTGTCCATGGGCTTGCAGACCAGTGGGAGTTTTGAAGGCTGGTGATCAGTATTGTATCATGAATCAAATATTGTAATTTGTATCAATTACAATTCTCACACACTCTCTCTCTCACTCACTCACTCACTCAATCACTCTATCACTCTCTCACTCACTCACTGTTCCCAGGACACCCTGTTGCCCCATGTGGAGGATGGTACGCTCACTCTGATTGGTGCAACCACCGAGAACCCATCTTTCCAGGTCAACGGGGCCCTGCTCAGTCGATGTCGTGTGATCGTGTTGGACAAGCTGACTACAGAAGATCTGTGTGTGATTCTGTACAGAGCTGTAGAAGAGCTTGGTGGGAGGGTGTTTGAATCTCAACAAGATATAGAAGATTCCCACAATGCAGAGGATCACGGAGACAGGTTAGATGACATGATTCATATATTGTTTGGATTAAAAAGTTAAAGATGGTTAAGCTGGAGGGATAAGTAACATGTTTGTTTAGTTTTAATTTTGCCCACAATCTTTCAAGGAAAACCCAACATATTCATATTTTGTTAGCCTAATAATAGTATGATGGGTATAAGATGTTTGCATGTGCCCCAATATACGAAACCTTGTGCCCCTCACTTTGATATGGCCAAAATGTTGATGGCTGAAACATTCATTCACTTGCCATGCTAACTCATCTTGATCATGTCCGGACAGAAGACACAATCATCTGAGGTGCTGTAATTCACTGTGCAGAGTTATGTCCCTTGGGCTTGATCTCGACCAATGGTTGTGGGTTCAAATTTCAGTTCAAGTCCCAGATTATATTTCTCAGTTTGTCAGCAAACCCATGTCCTAGGGTTTCACCAAAGTGAGACTTTGGGCTTTCCTCCAGTATTAAGCTAACAAGAAATGATGTAACTGGAATCCTGTTCATATCAAATTCTTCAAAGGCATTTAGAAGTTGGTGATGCACCTGACGAAGGGGCAAGAACTAGCCCAGAACTGGTTGTGTAAAATAAATCAAGAAGTTGTTATCCTTAAGATTTGTATTACTGTTCATATCGGTGTTAAACCCAACTCATTAATTTTTATATTTATTCATTCTTTTTATCTGTTTTTCCATCATGACTGTTTTGATAGTCTTGTGTAAATTTGATTAGTGATAAAACTTAGTGTGTCACAGGGCTCCAGATAAGGCCCTTTTGGCGTATGTATTGGATAAAAAAATGTACCCACGCTTTCGAACGGTAGGAAATAATTTATAATAAAGTAGCAGATCGCACCACAGCAATGGTGTATGTCGGTCTTAGAATCATTAACAGGCGTATTTATCTGAAAAAATGATTGTTTTATTGTTTATTGACCTGTTTACACAAAACTAGCAATGTTGTGGTGCAATATATGAAACAAAACATAAGACTACTGATAATGCCATTTTAAATGTGTATTCCATTCAGTACTCTAAATGTAGGCTTAAGGTTTTCGAGTACTCCTATATTGAAAAAATAAGGAGCACGGGCCTCTGGTGTTCAAAAAATTATCTGGAGCCCTGGTATCAGTTGTTAAGTGTCCCAGGGCAGAGGGATAGCCTAGTGGTTAAAGTAGTCGCTTGTCACACATGGGTACAATGTGTGAAGCCCATTTTTCTGGTGTCCCCACCGTGAAAAGCAGCGTAAAACTACCCTCACTCACTCACTTTAAGTGTCCCAGTATCGGGAGCTGCTCATATTATCAATCACTAGTTTATATGGCCTAAACTTGAATACTGCTGAGGTTGGCATTAAGCATCAAACAAAACCTAATCTACATCTCTGTTTGACCATCAGCCCTCCTGTGTGGGTAGAGAAGAATGCCATCACAACCCTGGCTAACCTGTGTGATGGAGATGCTCGAGCTTCCCTCAATGGCCTCCAGATGGCAGTGCAGTCGCGAGTCAACTCATCCAAATTTGCATCTGCGACACAGAGCAACGGAGACGCGAACCAGAACATCGTCATCGTCAACACGGATCATGTGAAGGAGGGCCTACAGAGGTCACATGTTCTGTATGATCGGACAGGTCGGTGGTTGTCTTCGACAGAGGGTTAATTATACCTGTCAGAGTTGGCACAGTGGTTTAGTGGTTGTACTACATGCCACTGATTTGTGTACACTACAGAGTTATATCCCTTGGCTGTGACAGGATCCAATGGTAGGGTTTAAGTCCCGATGGTCTGCTAGTGCTATATTCAATCTTAAGGGTGATCCAAAAGGTGGAAGTCAGTGAGCTGATCTGCTTTGAACATTCTGCTGACTCATCAGGATCATACATCTTAAACACTCTGCAAACAGGCATTTAATCCAACAAATTCTCAACTTTAATATAAGCAGGAGACATATTTTGAAAAAAGCAAGTTTGTTCCTACAGTCCGTGTGAGTCAGAAACGGACCAATGAATTGCAAATTTTATCATTGTACAAAATTGCCACATAAATATAAATAGTACACATGTTTATCATTTACTAATACCCAACAGCTTTCTTATATTTGAAAATTGTCAAAATTGAAAATTCCGTTTCTGCGGTTTCACCCCTCCACGACAGATAACAACTTTTGCGTTTTCAATGATGATAGTTTCTTAAACAACTTTTTTGGTGGAGTCCGGACAATTTTCAAATGTAAGAAAGCTGTTGGGTATTAGTAAATGATAAACATGTGTACTATTTATATTTATGTGGCAATTTTGTAAAATGATACAATTTGCAATTCATCAGTCCGTTTCTGACTCAAACGGACTGCAGGTCTTAACATACTTGAGTGTGAAAACTTGTTTTTCTTTCTTCTGTAAACTACTAAAAATTTGTATTATTTTAACCTCAGGTTGCCCACTTTTCTACTTCGTGTGCTCAGAGTGAAGTTTGTTGGCCTTGGTTTCTTAATGTTAGCATGGGTGGCCCAGTTGTTAAAGGTGCAGAGTTACATTCTGAGGGCACACCTATGATCTTGGGTTCGAATCCAGGGTCACACAGATAATGTTTCTAATTCTAGATTTGTTGGCACAGGACCTTTGCATGTCTGTTTTACTAAAGGGGTAAATGTCTGAGACTTCACACTTCAGTGTTTGAGTATGGTTTTCCGCCGCTTTCAGCAATATTCCAGCAATATTCCAGCAATATCACGGCGGGGGACCCTCCAACATTAAGATGACATGCTGTGCTACATGTGGAATACTGTTAAAAGTGTTAAAACATAACTCATTCACACAGTCATGATGTGATTCCTCATGGAAGACCTGAAGAGCACAGGCAGTGTGAAGTGAGTGAGTGAATTGGGTTTTATGCCACTTTTAGCAATATTCCAGCAATATCTTTAGAGGAGACGCCAGATATGGGCTTCACACATTGGACCAATGTTTGGAATCGAACCTGTGTCACCAGTATGCCATTTTTAGCAATATTCCAGCAATATTGTGGCAGGAGACGCCAGATGTGGGCTTCACACATTGGACCAATGTTTGGAATCGAACCTGTGGCACCAGTATGCCATTTTTAGCAATATTCCAGCAATATTGTGGCAGGAGACGCCAGATGTGGGCTTCACACATTGAACCCCTGTGGGGAATCGAACCTGGGGCCAAGCGTGACAAGCGAATGCTTTAACCATTCGGCTATCACGCCTCCCTGTCCAGTGTAAAGACTATGTGATATATATCTGCCTGACTTCAGATCTCAGTTCTGCAAAATGATCTCAGCGCTGTGACTTTTGTATGTCATGGGGATTCTGGGTAAGAATAGTCACCAAGCAACCTTTCTTTGTCGTAATGAACTGTAATATGATAAACTGTGATGATGTAGATTGGTTGGTTGGGGTCATTTAACTTGATTTATTGAGTGTGATCTTAACTGGATGGTGTAGATGATAGCTGACTAAGTTAGTCACTGGATTGTTTGGTCCACCCTCTGTTACCTGCAGGATGCCATCCTATAGATGGAGTATTGTAGAGTTAGTCTGTCATAATTCAATGTTTGTGTTAAAGTAGTGGTGTGACGATTCATCAAAACGCATCGATGTATCGATTCATGGGCCGCCGATACAGTGAATCGATACAGAGTTTTACATTGTCGTATATCCCGATACGATACTTCAAATGGGCCACAATACATCGAACTTTGAATATTGCCGAATCGCGATATCTGTCAAGAAAAAAGACTTACTTTTGTTTGATGATTAAAATATTTGCTTACTTACTTACCTTCATAAGTAAACGTTTTTGTCGGAAATTCTTGCGTCAAGAACTGTGTCAGACATAACGCTCGCATGTTATTAACATTCACAAAGTCGGGGGTATAAACTTAATTATCTCGTTTCCGAATGAACATTAAAAACGCCAGCGGAATTTGTCGAAATACTTTAAAATGGATTTGTTTTGATCTTAAGGTGTTTTACAGTTGGTGTTAGAAATAAAGATTTTAGTATCGTGATACGTATCGTATCACCACCCTTATATCGGGATTCGTATCGTATCTGTTTAAGTGCACAATACCTTGGCAATATATCGTCGTGACTATAATTTTAGTATCGTTATGCATTGTATCGCAGGTTGTAGGCCAATACCAGCACTATGTTAAAGTATGGGAGAGTCGTATTGCTAAGACCACTTTATGGATCGAGGTCATGGTCAGTAATGGTCAGTTTTCAGTTTTCACTGCATGAGCAATGCCTTGTATGTCTTCTCACTGAGAGGTCATGGGATTGCTAAGTGGTTGAAGCGGTCGCTCGTCACACTGAACACCCGGTTCGATTCCCCATATGGGTACAATGTGTGAAGTCCATTTCTGGTGTCCCCCGCCGTGATGTTGCTGGAATGTTGTTGAAAGTGGTGTGAAACCATTCTCACTCACTCACTCTTCTCACTTCGGGATGATGGGATTGCCTAGTGGTTAAAACTTTGGATCATCACACCGACATTTTCTCTCATGGGGTATGTATGAGGATCAGTCATTGTCTTCCCCATTGTGGTACTGCTGGAATATTGCTAACATTTAAATAGGGCCAACAACCAAATCTGTTGAGTATAACATGCAACAACATTGCACTTCTCATCCTTCACAGGCGAAGAACACTACAACATCATATCTGCGATGCATAAATCTATTCGAGGCTCTGACGCCAACGCTGCCCTCTACTGGCTGGCCCGGATGCTGGAAGGGGGAGAGAACCCCCTGTATGTTGCCCGGAGACTTGTTAGGCTGGCCAGTGAGGACATAGGTAGGTGCATCAGTGCTTGCAATACTTGAAGTGATCAGTTGAGTTTAAGCTGTACCACATTATGGCACAGTTGCATGTATTCTGAGGGATACATTTGTAGCTTCTACTTCCCAGGAATGCACACTGTGTTGCCCATGATTAATTTGTATATGTATGGGATGCAGAATTTTGCATGTACATGTAGTTATATTCTGAGCATTTGAGTCCGACTTGCCTGCAACCCATGAAGATCCAGGTTAGAATTGATCTTCAGTAACCCATGTTTGTCGTAAGAGGCGACTAATGGGATCGGGTGGTCAGGCTCACTGACTTGGTTGACACGTGCCATTGTATCCCAATTGCATAGCTCGATGCTCATGATATGTTAATCACTGGATTGTCTGGTCCAGACTCGATTATTTACAGACCACCACCATATAGCTTGAATATTGCTGAGTGTGTCATTAAACAACAAACCAACCAACCAACTTCATCTGCACAGTAAAAACTTTGCTCCTAATAATTTTTAACATTGCGTATGGTAAAACACGGTGTTATTACTTCGTGTTTGACTGAGCATTCTGACTTCCAGGTTTGGCGGACCCGCTGGCCCTCAACCAGGCTGTAGCAGCATACCAGGCGTGTCACTTTATCGGGATGCCGGAGTGTGATGTGAGATCAATACTCACTTACTAGAAAATGTTGATTTATCATATGCCATGCATTGTCAGCCAGAAAATGATACACACATAGTAGTTTTATGATCCTGTGACCTTTCAGTTTACCTCAGGGCTCCAGATAAGTTTTCAACATCAGGAGTACGTACTCCTTATTTTTCAATATAAGAGTACTCGAGAACCTTAAGAGTACATATAGAGTACTGAATGGAATTTAATGGAGTGTCAGTTATCTTGTGTTTCGTTTCATATATGCACCACAACATTGCTACTCTTGTGTAAACAGGTCAATAAACAATAAAACAATACTTTTTCAGATAAATACGTCTGTAGATGATTCTAAGACCGTACACCATTGCTGTCGTGCGTATCTGCTACGCTTAATAAATTATTTCCTACCGTATCATGCATATTTTATGTCCGTACATAAGCCGATACGGACCTTATCTGGAGCCCTGTACATGTAAACAGTAAATTCAGATTTTGTATGTTTGACGCTTTAACATAGCGATATGTAGTAAAAATGTTTAAACGGTTATATGAATCCTATGAAAGCTCATCCCTGACATGCAAACTGACCTTCTGGTACAGTGAACCATGTTTGTGTAGATGTTCACGGAGTCATGTTGTTGTACTTTTGTAATGCTCTTATATAAATATTGCAACATTCCACAGGTGATACTGGCCCAGTGTGTGGTATACATGGCACGAGCCCCCAAGTCTGTGGAGATCTACAAGGCGTACAAGAATGCCAAGTCAAGTGTTCGGGAACACCAGGGGCCCCTCCCCTCTGTTCCTCTTCACCTGCGGAATGCTCCCACAAAACTCATGAAGAGCCTCGGTAAGTTGAACTCGGAGAGGTAATACTGGCCTCATAGCAGGATTCTACTTGTTCAGAATGCCGTTGTACAAAACTCTCTTAGCACTAAGCTCCCATACCTTGACATAGACTTATGACAGTTGTAGCTCTAAGGTGATCGTAACTCCCATACCTTGACATAAACTTATGACAGTTGTAGCGCTAAGGTGATCGTAACTCCCATACCTTGACATAAACTTATGACAGTTGTAGCGCTAAGGTGATCGTAACTCCCATACCTTGACATAAACTTATGACATTTGTAGCACTAAGGTGATCGTAACTCCCATACCTTGACATAAACTTATGACAGTTGTAGCGCTAAGGTGATCGTAACTCCCATACCTTGACATAAACTTATGACAGTTGTAACTCTTTAAGGTGATTATGATAACTCCCATACCTTGACATAAACTTATGACATTTGTAACACTAAGGTGATCGTAACTCCCATACCTTGACATAAACTTATGACATTTGTAACACTAAGGTGATCGTAACTCCCATACCTTGACATAAACTTATGACATTTGTAGCACTAAGGTGATTGTAACTCCCATACCTTGACATAAACTTATGACAGGTAACACTAAGGTGATCAGTAACTCCCATACCTTGACATAAACTTATGACATTTGTAACACTAAGGTGATTGTAACTCCCATACCTTGACATAAACTTATGACATTTGTAGCACTAAGGTGATCGTAACTCCCATACCTTGACATAAACTTATGACATTTGTAACACTAAGGTGATTGTAACGCCCATACCTTGACATAAACTTATGACATTTGTAACTAAGGTGATTTGTAACTCCCATACCTTGACATAAACTTATGACATTTGTAGGTGATCTTAACTCCCATAGGGTGATTTGTAACACTAAGGTGAACTCCCATACCTTGACATAAACTTATGACATTTGTAACACTAAGGTGATCGTCCATAAACTTATGACATTTGTAACTCCCATACCTTGACATAAACTTATGACATTTGTAACACTAAGGTGATCGTAACTCCCATACCTTGACATAAACTTATGACATTTGTAACACTAAGGTGATTGTAACTCCCATACCTTGACATAAACTTATGACAGTTGTAAACTAAGGTGATCGTAACTCCCATACCTTGACATAAACTTATGACATTTGTAACACTAAGGTGATCGTAACTCCCATACCTTGACATAAACTTATGACATTTGTAGCACTAAGGTGATCGTAACTCCCATACCTTGACATAAACTTATGACATTTGTAACACTAAGGTGATCGTAACTCCCATACCTTGACATAAACTTATGACAGTCGAGGCGCTATCATGATCCTGTGGGTATGTTTAGTAGATTTGGTGATGTATTTGAGGAGGGTTACACTGTGACATGGCTTGTATAGTTTCACAACCTGATGCTATGACTGTTTCTGTGTAAAACACAACTCACACACTGTTTCAGACTATGGGAAAGGCTACAAGTACAACCCGGACTACAGTGAACCAGTGGACCAGGAGTACTTCCCAGAGGAACTCAAGGGTACAGACTTCTTCACATAAGAGTTGCCTCCCCTGAAAACCTGGCACGCCATCACTTATATGGAACAGGTCACTTGTCATGATCCGTTTGTTTGTTTTTTAATGCTGCCCTCATATCAGCAACATTCCAGCGATATGGTGGCGGTCTGTAAATAATCAAGTCTTGGCCAGACAATCCAGTGATCAACATCATGAGCATCGTCGTACGATGCAATTGGGATACGATGACATGTGTCAACCAAGTCAGCGAGCCTGACCACCTATGACGACAAGCATGGATTGCTGAAGACCAATTGTAACCTAGATCGTCATGGGTCTGTCATGATCTGACTTTGGTTAGGACAGTGCTGCAATTAGAGAGGTCCTCAGCTGTTACTGACTTATGGACATACAGAGTGAGTGAGTGAGTGAGATGGGTTTTACGCCACATTTTGCCATATTCCAGCAATATCACGGCGGGGGACACCAGAAATGGGCTTCACACATTGTGCCCATGTGGGGAATCGAACCCCGAGTCTTCGTGACGATCGACGAACGCTTTGGCCACTAGGCTACCCAATCACCCCACCTACAGAGATTTTTACATCTTTTGTTTCAATATAGAGTTCAAGGTTAAAAATTCAAATAAAAATAAACTGCAAGAAGAATATTCAAAAGACATCCTTCATAGAGAATTGGAGATTTGCTGCTTGAAGTCTACTTTGAGCAAGTCATAAATGTTATTTTCCTAATCAATCTGGGGATGTGGGGTAGCCTAGTGGTTATAGTGTTTGCACATCACACCAAAGGCCCAGGTTCGATTTCCCACATGGGTACAATGTGTGAAGCCCATATCTGGTGTCCCCCACCGTGATATTGCTGGAATATTGCTAAAAGTGGCATAAAACCATATACTTAGTCACTCACCATATCAATCTATTTTGATGTAACTCTATTATACAAAAATCAAAACTGCTGATTGCAAAAGAATGAAAAAGTTTTACGTTCTTAGACATGTCTGTGTATATATGTAATTTGTGTACAACGATTTTGATGATTGAAACTCAAAATGAGACCATGCATGATAAAATCATGCTCAGTTTCTTTTGTATATTTGTCTCAGTGTGGATGTGTGTGTCCTTGACCAATCATAGGTCATAAAAAATACTTAAAATAAAACTTGGCTGAAACATTTCAGTCCCCAGTGAAACGCATGTCTTTCATCAGAGATGCCAACATCTACGATTTTATCGTAGTCGCTACGAATTTTAGCCTCAAACTACGCCATTTGCACTAGAAATTCTACGAAATTTGAAGAAAATTCATTAAAATTCGGATATGTAGACAAAAACATATATTTTCGTGGATTAAATACATTTTCGGACTTCACTCACCTTCCATTCATCAAATTTAATGACATATTTGAACTGGAATCATTGCAAGTAACAAACGTAATTTTAGCAAAATTGTCTATCAGAAATCTGAAGCTGATTTCAATACCTTTGCGATTTGCCCCACTTATTGTGTACCAGCGGAAAATGACGATCCTATCGGAATGATTTGACCACGTGACCGTACCTTCCGTTCGATTATACGAAACCGGTATGTGAAATTAAAGCTTCACTCTTGATTTTAAGTATTTAGAAGACTACAAATTTTATGGTCAAACTTCTAATTTTGATCCTTGACACTACTATTTGCAACACTTTGGGGTTGGCAGTTCAGCTTTCATCTGTTAATGAAGAGCTGTTGATTATTAACATTGTATAAAGGAGCACCGTGGAATGTCATATTGGCCAAATAGCAAATGATTTTGTTTGAGTTCATAACATAAGAATCTATCTGATTCACGAACACTTTAGGACACAATTTCTGGTAAGACTACAGAATACCGGATACCTTCCGCCATCTTTGAAAGCACGCGAGTTTACTTTTGGTTAGGGTTAGGGTAAGGGATAGGGCATGGTTTAGCGTTAGGGTTAGGGTGACGTGACACTAAACAATATGGCTGGTAGGTATCCGGTATTCTGTATGTGTACCCAACTTCTTTCAGTCACCTGTTCAAAATGACTTCACACCAGTTTGAGTCTTGCAGCCTGGGTTCCAAGCCGTAATATTGCTGGAATATTGCTAAAAGCAGCGTACAACCATCCTCACTCGCTCACAAAGCCTGGTGAAACAAGAGACACCCTGTTTTTTTATTTATAATCATACATGCTATCAATGACTTCACACCGGTTTACCCTGAGTCACCTTGTTTGTAACATCGGAACCTGCTGTCCATGATTTATAGGGTGGACACAATACAAGGTACCTGCTTTCAAAGGATTTATTTGTGCCCTCTCGCCATTTACCATATCTACGGGTACAATAAATAACAGACGTATTTCAAGCTTTTGGTGAAGGAAAACATTTTAATTTTTATTTGTGTCTTTAATTTTACCCTTGTAACATGCTGATGTCTGAAACTATTTGTGTAAAAGTACTTTTACATTGTCTGTGTTTTTACAATGATATTCTTATTATCACGTTAACAATAGAATTGCAAACAACAGGAACAACACTTGGACAACATAGAATATCTATTAAATATGACATGGTGATTCAAATGACCCAACAACATTGTGAACGACATATTCTAACAATATATGAACTTACATCAACAATGTTTAAATACGTAATAAAAATAGACATGATACAACAAAGAGGTATAACGTTTTCACATAGGAAACTGCTGCACTTACAAGCAATGCCCTCTGGGAGATTTTGATAACATACCAATTCTACGGTTACTTTGGAAACCACTCGATTCCACGTAGTCTTTAGTCACAGGTTTCAAATCGTCACAACCATGTCTGACTGCAACACCCGCATCATCCCAAAGCTGCCTTCTCAGTCATTGTCGGTAGTCATTATAAAATAAGCATTGGCCTACTCACAGGCAAAAGTTATTGTGACTTGAATTTATTTCATTCGGAATCTTCAGAGCTTCCAACCCCAAGAGAGAGAAAATCATGAGATGCCTGGGTCCAAGGGCCGCCTGCCCTGACCAGTCAATGGTGGAACCAGGTGGGGGCTTCCGACGCATAATTGCAAATTCCCTTCTCAGCTAATAATAAGTCAATGAAAACGATGTATTCAGACCTATTTGCGTGATTTAAGTTTTGTTTGAGATTTATCGCGTGAGAGTTGGCAGGTATGAATGTTATGAATGAATTTTTGGGGTGTGTTAAAATGGTCGAAAAAACGCAACCAAGCAGTGTTTGTTCGAAAGGCACGACATTTGCAAGAAGCTTGACATATTCGAGAAAATGGCCAGCAATGTTCACTGTTCCAAGGCCAGAGACGCTTATCCTTTCCAGTCAATACAGTCTTAAGAAGTTAGGAAACACTTCTTTTCTTCGTTCTGGAGCAAGTTCGACATGGAATATGACAGATGAAGGGGTATTGGTATTCTTCAGTCTGGTACCTCGCAGCGTGACGTTGCTCGTAAATTTCCGCAAAACAAATTATAGACCGTCCCCATAATGGCCGCCCAACAGTAACGACATCACGTCAAGACCAATGGATTCGAACACCACCTTCGACACAGGTTCCAGCCAGCAGCCCGCACAATACCCAGCAACGGAAATTTTTATGTATACCGCTACACTCGTTACATAAAATACATAAATCAATTCTACCGGTCTAGAATTTTCTTAAAAAATCATTTCTTCACCGATCTCGTTCCAATTTGAAATATAGGTTAATCATAACATACAAAAACAATATACGATTGCAAAAGTTTAGATTTTCATTTATAAAAATTATTGTCCAAACAGTGATTCGAACCCCTGTGCTGTGAAGTACCGAGATGAGAGTTTCTATATGACCGCTTTACAGTTTCTTGCAACCAGTGACGTTCCAGTATGATAACACCAGGCCACACGCTGTACAGAAGTATTCCTGTCAAAACAATATTACTGTGATACGATTGCCGACCTCCTGACGTGTCACCCACTGAACACGTCTGGGGTGACATTGGCGGATCCGGTGTGTGTGTGTGTGTGTGTGTGTGTTTCGACCCCGCCCCTTTTGAAAATGACTTAAGACCACTTAAGACCCTCCCTTTCAAAATTCCTGGATCCGCCCATGGGTGACACGGAACAATGTTTACCTAGTTATCCGAATCCCCCAACAACGCTGCATATCCTTCCTCGGAAATGGAATGATCGTCCCCAGGTATTTCATCGACGTTTACTGCCCTCAATGAGGCAAAGGTGCTAGGTCTGCACCAATGCACAAGGTGGATACACTTGCTACTGACCGTGCGAACTTGCTCATGAACCCTCTCTTGTGTCGTAGATCATTTGCATATGCCAGGTTGGGCTGGGACGAGTCCAAATTTTCTACCCGGGTACCCCATCCCCTATTACCCTACCCTACCTGGATACCCGTTATGTTAATTCCTGACATCAAATTTGGAAGAAATGACAATATATTCTTCAGTTCGGAGGCTAAATATTTGAGTTTTTCAACATCTTAACCATGTATTATATTCAAAAGAAGTGACTGTAAATTATGTCAAAATCTTCAAAGACAATACAACCTATTAATCATGAAAGAATGACATATTACATTGTTTAATCTATTAGTCACATGATCATAACGGGGAATTGAGACTGATACCCGGGTCCAACTCAATACCCACCCGACCCGGGTATCCGGGTTACCCTTCCCAGCCCAAATGTCAGGTGCGCTCTTCTATCGCTTCCATACCTTGAAACATTTGTCTTTTTATGTGATAACAGTTCATACGCAGCATTAAACGTTTAACACTGTTGTTGCTTTGTTATTTGTGAGTCACAATAACTTTTACCTGCATACCTATATTTTACCTACCTTTAATATAACAAAACATCGGACTCAACCCATGTCAACGCATGAACGCTCCCCAGACTAAATGGTAGCATTTGTTCATAGTATTGTGGACCATATTTCTCTGCAGATTTGTTCTGATTGATTTTCATTCTGTGTTTATCGCATGTGAGTTGCATCAACTATCGAACTGAAACAAAAAGATGGCACAACAGTTTAACAACATTGTCGAGCAGCGTCAACACCTGATTGGCTCCAGAGCTGCCTTGGTACAAAACGGCTTGGTACATACCTTTGTACATAAAGGTTATCTACAGTAGCCTACATATGATTATAATGAATAAACGATTGTTCATTGCCATGACCAGGCTTTTGATTTCGTTTGGAAGATGTGCACGTCCAATCCTGAAATTTCCAGAAACACCCAAACATCCTCTCCTCAGAGGAAGCGTTCTGAACAAAACCCGTCCTGAGGTCAATAGTTTCCATGACAACCAGCTGCTGTAACCAAAGTGTCCTAGCATCTGGAACAGTCCTGGTGGTATTCATGGGACGGATTACTGGGTAATGGAGACACACCATGATAGACACTTCTCTACACAGTGAGGTGGAGTCGTCGTCTTGCCCAGAGGAACAACCAGAGCTGATGCCAGTTCCTAAAGCTGTCATCGCTCAAGATGTACCGATTCTGGCAGACAGTGGGTCTGGAACAAAAGAAGCTGATTACAGACAGGGAAAAGGGTAACACTTATCTTTTCCAAATACATATTCTGTAGAATTTAGTACATATCGAAGAGGTCTTGCTATTTGCAAATGTCATATCAGAATGAGTATGTAGTTTCGAGGCAGGACAGTGTGTAGATATCTGAAGAGTGCGAAATCGGGTCCTCCGGAAGCGCTCGTTAAATCTCCATCATCATCGTCGACCCACATCACTGGAGAATGCAGGATGGTGGGGACAGCCTCGTGGTTCGATATCCTACATGGGTACAAAGTGTAAAGCCCATTTCTGGTGTCCCCTTCCGTGATATTGCTGGAATATTGCTAAAAGTGGCGTAAAACTAAACTGCGAGTGTTGGGAACCAATTACTGGGTTTAAACGATGGAGCAATTAACAATTTTGCGCACATTTCGGTCGTAGGATGAATGGTTAGACGACTATTTGAGGACTTCTTTGCATCATTTTGTAAGTCAAGGTCTAACACATGTGATAGTTGATTTATCAGTAGTTGAATCTCACCTCCAACTTGGTCGTCTCATCAGTGAGGACGTACTGCTGCTTGTTTCGAGACGCCAGGGTCTTCAGTTTCTCCCACAAGTTGATCACCAGCTCAGGGTTCACGTCCGGCTTCCTCAAACCGCCTAAAACACCATCACACCATAGGCAATGACCAGGTTATAGCACAGAGAAACATTTAAGCGAAAGCCCCTGGAATATTGCGGAAAGAGTCGTAAAATCATACTCGCCCTCGTCATACAAAATGCATGTACATATTCCCAAAGACTCATTGATATATTACACAGTCTCAAATGATACAACTAAATTGTTTTCCAACTCTATATTTGGTTAACATTCATTGAGACATACCTGCACCATAGGTACGTTTTTCAGCAATATTTTGAAAAGTGAAATAGATGTGAAGGACTCTTGGCGTGATAAGACCCGTGAGAACATAAGAAAAGTTGTCGAAGACATGACTCCGTCAATGGCCCCGGATGCGACTGGTAATGGTGCCTACAGTGATTGCATAACTCGTGACAAGGCTGGTGATGGTGGCTGGTGATGGGTGCCTACAGTGATTACATAGCCCGTGACAAGGTGGGTGATGGTGCCTACAGTGATTACATAGCCCGTGACAAGGCTGGTGATGGTGCCTACAGTGATTACACAACCCTTGACAAGGCTAATGAAAGAGCCTACAGTGAAGGCTGGTGACGGTGATAGAGGATACTAAACGACCTTCCATGTAATGCCATTTTTTATCAAAAGAGTTAAAGATTTGGTATCAAACGAGCGAAAGCGAGTTTGAGACTAAATCTTTCACGAGTTTAATAAAAATGGTATTTCACGGAAGCGAGTTTAGTATTCTGTTTATTACTCCCCCAAATATATTGATAGAAACTGCCTACAGTGTGATGTCTCTCAGTTTTCCGTGAGTCAAGCAAGGTCAAATACCATTGTGACAGAGGTATTAGCATTGTGACATCATAACTGCACACCATTATGACGTCATACGTCTAGCGGTATTACACTAGTGTAATATTGTCGTAAAAATATTACGCTGCAGTATTTAACAGGCGAGTAATAGCGTACAGTATTACACTGACCTGTGAGGATGCTGACGATGACGCCAACAAACAAGGCTACCAGGACCGAGGACCCGCTGTACCACATGTAAGAGAGGCGGTAGATAGCCATGGGTTCAGGAGGTGACCTGCCGATAGAAGCCGTGATAACACTGGATTATGATAAACATGAAGGCTACCCGTGGTACTGTTCTTCTACCAAAGCTTTCCATACCCACCCGTGAAAGTCCGGTTAGAATATTGATCTTCAGTAACCCTTGCTTGTCGTGAGAGACGACTAACGGGTTCGGGTGGTTAGGCTCGCTATCTTGGTTGACACATGTCATCGTATCCTAATTGCGTAGGTCGATGCTCATGCTGATGAACATTGGGTTGTCCGGTTACAGACCGCCGCCATATAGATGGAGTGCGGCGTAAAACTAAACTCATTCATTCATTCATTAAGCATGAAGGCGAAAGAATTCAGCCTCGACTATCTGACGAACATGATTCTTATGGCCGTGAAAGACATAATAGCGGTGAAGATTATATGAATGGATCACTGAAAGTCAGTCATGACACTTGGCGTTCGCATACAGGGTCAAGACGAACTCAACTGTTAAGGCGAAACAGTTCGCTGTGCAGAATTGAACTCCTCTGTTTTTCCCGAATCCAGCCGTGATTGTGATATTTTCTCTCTCAGCAGGATACCCTTGCTCGTGAGTGAGTGAGTTTAGTTTTACGCCGCACTCAGCAATATTCCAGCTATATGGCGGCGGTCTGTAAATAATCGAGTCTGGACTAGACAATCCAGTGATCAACAGCATGAGCATCGACCTACACAATTAGGAACCGATGTCCTTGCTCGTGTGTTTCACCTTGTATGGGTAAAACTCCCATGACCTGCATCACTTTGGGCTTCGTTCCCACCAAGCGGACACTCCGTGTTATTAGTGAAATATTGCTTTAAACCAACTCACTACACATCTATGTAATCAAAACGAAATAGTGAGTGAGTTGGATTTAAGGCCGCTTTGAACATTATTCAAGTTATATGAAGGTGTGTCAACACAATCTAGCAGCAAAGCCCGAGGTGATGCAAGTCTCAGACGTTTATCTGTTGATGAAACTAACGAGCACCAGTATGTTCCTGAAAAACCTAGAATCATAGGATTCTGGTATGCCAAGGGACGCAACTCTGCACAGCGAATTGTCTCGTCCTTGACGACTGGGTCACCCATAATCTCTCAAAACAGAGTACACATTGACTAACATGACCGTCTGCAATACAGGCCCGGAAAGAAATATACCCAATACAGCCCATGCAAGTCTAGAATATGTGTCAGGTCTAGATTACCACAGTTTCAGGTAAAATGGTGAAAGCCGCTGGCTCCTTTTTTGATATATTTTATAAGCATCATGTAGGAAGTGTTATTTATTTATTCTTTTTTTTTTTTTTTTTTGGAAAATATTCATTTCAGAGACTAAACAAGTAGTAACGTTCATATTTCTCCATCTAAATTGAACATATCTGTGAACCTTTAAGCTCTACTGCCATTACTCACCTGCTGGCAGCAAGGGTTGTGTTTACCATGACGACGGTCATGTTGCTAAGCAATGACTTCATAGTGGTAGCTGCGGTGAACGTAGCGTTATCGGCCGTCATGACGTCACAGTTGTCGGTGGTGATGTTAAGGATTTGTGGTCGAGATCCGTTGACAGTTGCGCCTATCACGACCCAGAAGCTGAACACAAGGCCCGATAACAGAGCGGCTACAGCACCCTGCACCAAGGCAATGAAATACAAGGGTAAGGGCACGTCGTACCTGGTTATACACAATTGCAGAAAACAAATCCATAGACTTATCATGAGTAAGTGAGTGAGTTTGGTTTTACGCAATATTCCAGCAATATCACAGCGGGGTACACCAGAAATGAGCTTCACACATTGTACCCATGTGGGGAATCGAACCCGGGTCTTCGGCGTGACAAGCGAACGCTTTAACCATCAGGCTACCCCACCGCCCCCATAGACTTATCATGAACTGCCCTGCAAGGTATCAGGCAAGATGTGGGCTACTGTAACTGCATGATGCCTTCACTTTCATAACGATGCCAAATGACGTCATATATAATCTGATGCACATGTAAACAAAGATCTGACCATCGGAGGCCAAGTAAGGTAGTTGGTCGGTTGGTTTGCTGTTTAACGCCGCAATTGGGACACGATGACGGGTCAAGCTCGTTGACTTGGTTCACACATGGCATCATATCCTAATTGCGTAGATTGATGCTTATGCTGTTGATCACTGGATTGTCTGGTCCAGACTCGATTATTTACATGTCGCCGCCATATAGCTGGAATATTGCTGAGTGCGGCGTTAAACAACAAACAAACCAACCTTGACAAGTAATTTACACAGGCACGTGTGTGTATGCAATGACACAGCACTTTAGTGAGCGCGTACGCAATAACCCATTCGTTTAAACCGATTTTTAGAAGAGAATTGTCGAGAAAGGCAATGATTCAGCATCTTTCATGTTTACTGCGACCTGGTACATTGTATGTACTGTACTCGCTGTGGTTGCCAAACGCACTCGGACCTGCCATGCCTCGAGACTATTGTGAATTATAACTGGACCGGGAGTACAAGTAGGTAGCCACATTTCTACTCCCGATCCCGTTTGTCGCCTCTTACGACAAGCATGGGTTAATGAAGACCAATTCTAACCCGGATCTTAACGGGTCTCCTCACAAGTAGCTTGGAACGCCGTATACTCCCTGGGAGAGAAGAATGAAAGTCGAGTAAATAACAGTCTTTGTAAGGAACACCATATGTTGATTGTATCAGCAAGAATATGATTCGTCAAAACCATCGGTTGTCAAATTTGATAAACTGAGATACTTACGGAAGAGGGGAATTGCAAGAAGACAACGGTTGGTGTACTTGGTACTTACCGGTGTTGTGGCGAAGGGACGAAGATGGCGAGGACAAACAGGCCGAGGAGGGGCCCGCCTGTCATGCCGAAGGAGCTGAGGGTGATCTGCAACATCGTGCCTCCCATCTTCCCCGCGAGGAACGCCAACCCCACCGTCAACAGTCCAAAAAGCAGTGCTGTGGAGATTGAACGTTAGAGAGAGTTAGTTTAGTTTTACCCCGCTTTTAGCAATATTCCAGCTTTATCACGGCGGGGGGAAGCCGAAATGTGCTTCACACATTGTTCCCACGTGGGGAATCGAACCCGGGCCCGTAATAGGGCTACGTCCAGTACCAGATTTCCGGTGACAAGCGTATATTCATTAACCAGTTCCGATTTTGAAATTGCGCGACCACCAAATATGACTTTACTAGACCGGACCAAGTGTACAACCACGCTTGGCTGTCACAGCTGTTGGCAGTCGTAATAGTTGGCTAATTTGGGGATGGTTATATCAGAAATATATTATTCCCTCAATGATTATCGGTTCCTTACTGTCAACCATGAGACCATTCGAAAAATTATGAAACGTTGTTTGTCACCGGAAGTACTAAACAACGTAAGGTCTCGCGAAGTGCCGTGACCTTGCGGGCCCTGCATGTATGCTCTCATTTGTAATGGTTGATTAATGTACATTGTAATTCATGTTGGATCTACTCAGCTCATGTCCTTGAGTCACATATTATCTAGTTCAACATGCAACAAGAACTGAGTTTTATCACGGCATGCTATAAATAACGGAACGGTGATACCCAAACAAGTCATTCATTGTAACCACCCGATAAAACTCAAGATTGCCGCAACACTCTGGTATTGAGTACTAGCCTTTAAACGTAGTGAGTGGGTGGGTGTGCGGGGGTGTGACCGTGTGTCAGGGGTGAGTGAGTGCGAGTGGGTGTGTCGGTGGGTGATTTAAACATAATGGTATTTCAGTTATATTTTGCGTTGCCTGCTAGCTATTCTCGAAACGTCCGTAGCCCTAAGAACTTCTTAAGCCCTTTCTTAACACATTGGCTACGATCAAAGTTAAGAATTCTTAGGGTTACGAAAACTTCGAGAATAAGGGCCCTGCTTCTTATTAAAGAAGGAAATCCATGTCACGCAGTTCTTAGACGTTTTTACTTTGATGAAACTAATAAACATATGAGAATCGTGCTAACAAACAAAGTATCATCAGCAGGTCAAACAGTTGGAACCATTTGAAAGGGACACAACTCATCACCGCGAATTGTGACGCCTTAGACAACTGGGCCACCCCTGCCCTTGTGGATCTATACTAAAATGAACATCATCCACGGGGAACTTACTCAACAGCTTGGAGATGACTGTCCCGAGCTTCTCTCTCATGGCGCTCCCTGTCATGATCTTGTACATCGGCTTGACGATGTCCTCAAGATGGACCAAGGCCAGGGCGTTCACGCCAGACGACACTGTACTGCACAACGTGAAGGTCAAGGTCATTTATACGGATATATTGATGTCAACTTCTTTATTTCGAGGGACACGACGTTTCGGAGTGCATTCTTACTCCTTCATCAGATGAATGAAAGACTTCTAATGGCGTTCAAAGACTCCACTTATACATACACAACATCAATGGATGTTTTCTCAAGGGTAAGGTCAATAAACATAAGGGTAAAATATTCCTGAATTTTGGTTTTATAGAAAGTCAAGGTCAGTTTTCTGATAAATTCCATGTATTTCTGTTTTGAAGAAGTAAATGCTATTCAGGAGATATGGCCGCTGAACATAAGGTAAATGCTCCATGTATTTAATCCTTTTAATGTCACTGAAACCCACAAGCGCAGATATAGCTGACAATTAAGTATAAAAGTGGAATTTAGTAGTGTAAACTGTCTTTCTAGGAGATATTGGTAGAATTGCATCATATGCTTTGCCTACCATTGTGATGTCATCGGTAACAATGACGTTACAATCAAATGACAAACGATTACTCCGTGCACACTTTATGTATCACTTGAAAGTGATATATTATTGAAAATACAAAAAATACCGACCTATCACATATATCCTAATTAAATTAATTTAACAGAAATGAGGAATACTTCATCCTTCTTTACTTATAACTTAAATGTAATATATGATGGGTATAAATCCTATTCCTTCCTGTGCAGTAGAGCAATGCGTGGTACACACTGACCTGAGAGCAGCGCTGAACACACACGAGATGAAGAGTCCAGCCAGACCGGGCACCATCCCCAGGGTCTCCATCACCAGGATCGGCACCAGCTGGGGGAACAGGAAGGTGGAATGAGGGGTGGGGGGTCCCATGGTTTGGTCCACATAAATACAGTTGCATAACACCGACACTTACAGAGTGGTTGCGAGGAATCTCAAGTTGTTCATTATTGCAAAGGGAAACCTTGTTAAACCGATCGATACCGAGGATTCATTAACACTTACCTGGATTATCGTCGGAGGACCGAAAGATGTATGTCGAACACTTATCATTTTTCCTGAAACTGGCAAGGCAGACCATGGATCGAATCTGGGATTTGAACCCACGGTCAGCGAATCCGGTCACAACTAAGGACTGTAACTCTGTACAGTAATGTATACACAGTGTCAATGTATAGAAATCAATGCACAGTAAGTTGCAACGTCTTTGATCACAAGGTCATTGTGGTTGAATGATTTTGCTAAATATCCAAACCAGAACTTGATCACCCTGATACATTCATTCGGTTTCCTTCAGACTGACATATAGTGTTACAGATATGTATGTTATATACTTTGCTAAGATAAAAGAAAGAAAAGAAAAAGAACAAAAATTGGAATATCTGACGGAGCTTTGATGATATTCATACAAAATGAAACTAAATATGAATTTATCATGTCTGCATGCACCGGGTGTGATATGTGAAGTACGGCAAAAAATACCGAAAAAGAGAGCGAAACGCAAAACTCAAAAAGGGAACGTGCCTCCAAAGACACAAACGTGAAATGAACGTGCAACGCGAATCTGGGCGCTATGACAACAATGGATTTTCATTTGTCTGTCATCACAGTTGAACAGCAGTGTAAAGTGAAAACATGCCACGACTGACAGAGCCTCTACACAACAACGCCATAGGCCGACTGCAGACCGGCGATTCCTCTTAGGCCGTAGTCAGGTTTTTCCACGTATAGCAAAACACCATTCCAAGACTATGGAACCGTTATTAGATACAGGGTCAACACGTGACCTACCCAGTTCCGATGGACCACATGTGACAACTGCAGCGCATGACAAGTTCATACGGCTTCGTCACTTTCGTCATAAACTCATTACGGCCACTTCTACAGCACTACCAGCACTGCGTAGGATTTCAGCCAAAACAATGAGGAACAGTCAACGAGCCGCCGGTATTCGCCCGAGACGACTAGTTTGAGGCGTCCTCGTCGGCTGGGATGTTAAGGACAAAGAGCATAGCCACAACAGCGATGGAGACGTTTTTAGTTTAGTGACGAGTCACGTTCTCCGTACAGACGTCGTAGGGAGCTTTATGCCCCAAACCGCCTACATGAAGTGGATAGGTTTGGTTCCGGAGTGTAATGTTGTGGGTACCCCATACCGGTAGAACAGACTTTGTATACGTCCAGGTTGTCGTTGTACAATACAATCTTACGCGCTAAGGTGATCGTAAGTCCCATACCATAACATTGACTTAAGACTGGCGTAGCGCTTAGGTTGCTTTGTACAACGGCACCCTGGGCAATATAACGGCACAACCTTACACATATGAATATCTTCGGCCACACGTCCGTTTCATTTTGCAATAAAAAAACGTCAATTTTACCACGACAGCGCCCGACCTCTCACGGCAAAACTGACAACGGGTTATATTAGGAACCATAACCATAGGAAGCAAGTTCCGTCATGGCCTTCAAGGTCTCCAGATCTGAACCCCATCGAACATTCATGGGATACTTCTGGGATCACGTCAGCAACAGCAGGTTCTGCATAAAGAGGGGGTAAACGGTCCTTAGGCCACAATTCGTAATCTAATTGGATCCATTGGGCGACGATGCCTGGCAGTTCTGGATTCTTATGACCAGACAAGATATTGAGAACAGATGACCTTCACCTTGATATTCGATTATTTTTCATGTGTGGCAGGGTGAACTTCGGTCAGTGACAATAACTTGTGCCATATTTCAACAATTTATCATTGTCTGTTGATTATGTATAGAAAGACATAATGTTTACATCTCAAAACCACTTTTGTGTTTCTTTTTTTCGCAAAGTATATTGGTAATTGAGGGCTTCCTGGGACAACGGACCTGGTCAAACTTGGTCATCTTGCCGGACTTGTACGGGTCGCAGTCCTTGTACTTGGCATACGTCACTAGTCCCACCGCAGTCATCAACGTCGTCGCGATGATGTTGGAGGGCAGGTTGAAGTAGATGGTGCTGAAGTAGAGTTGCCATATTTCAGTTCAGTCGTAGTCAGCGGTAAAACAATTCGTTAATATCTATTTGAAATCACGGGCGATATACAGAGGTTTATTGAAGAAGCCGTGAGTTTCCAGAACCTGCCCTACGTCAGTTTGTAAACCTACCCATGAGAACGGCCGAGTTTCTTCTTGACCTATTCCTGATTATCCCTGTGTCTGTCTAGATTTCAAGACTACACACGCCCATCTCTGATCATCTAGGCCTGCACCTGTGCCCATCTAAGTTTCAAGACTACACACGCCCATCTCTGATCTTCTAGACCTACACCTGTGCCCATCTAAGTTTCAAGACTACACACGCCCATCTCTGATCATCTAGGCCTGCACCTGTGCCCATCTAAGTTTCAAGACTACACACGCCCATCTCTGATCTTCTAGACCTACACCTGTGCCCATCTAAGTTTCAAGACTACACACGCCCATCTCTGATCTTCTAGACCTACACCTTTGCCCATCTGAGTTTCAAGACTACACACGCCCATCTCTGATCTTCTAGACCTACACCTGTGCCCGTCTGAGTTTCAAGGCTAACGCGCACACGCCTTAGCTTCCAGACCTACTCCAGTGCCCGTCTGAGTATCTAGACCTACCCTTGGGCATGCCTGAGTTTCTTCACGGCGAGGTAGCGCTGAACGAGGGCCTGGTTGATGGCGTAGACGCTGAGTGTCGTAACGGAACCTCCGAACACCAGAGACCAGAACGTGTGACGCTTCAAGGGATCGGGATCAAAACTAAAAATACTATACAGCATAAATACAAGATATAACAGTTAGTCTACGTGCCTTGGAGTGGAAATCACACTTTTAGCAACACACCATATTTAAGTTAATGCACTGTTTACTGCAGTATTCATGGCAACAAAACGTTCTATAATCTATACTAAAGCATTCAAAATTACCTGTCCAGGAAGGTAACAAATTAGTTTACTTACAAGATTATGCCACATATTACAAAGACAAAGGTACCAAGAAAATGCCTAAGTGATTTATTACAGAGAATCGTTTTTCATCTTTACCACTAAAAACTGAAAAACCCAAAACAATCTAATTCTGTACCCGATTTTCAGTAAAAGCAGACCGTTACGTCTTAGGGTGGGTGATTGGGTTGCAAGGTTGGTAGATAAGTGTATATAATAAACGCCGATTTGAATAATATTTCATTTGCATCACAGTTTTTGTTGTGTGACAAAAGCCTGGGCGGTGGGGGTAGCCAAGTGGTAAAAGCGTTCACTTGTCACACCGAAGACTCGGGTTCGATTTCCTACATGGGTACAATGTGTGAAGCCCATTTCAGGTGTCCCTCGGTGTGATACTTCTGGAATATTGCAAAATGCGGCGTAAAACTAAACTCACTCACTCACTTAGACGTGAGCCAGTTTGGTGAAAGCCGCGATCGCTGGGATGGTGCAGACAAACCGGAACCATAATCAGGGCGGACGGGGATTCGAACTCAATATCATAATTTTCTGGCATGTTCATCTAACACAAGTCTCCAAAACGAAGACGTCGTAGAAAATAACATGCTCAAAGCTGTTAGTCAGCAGACCAAATGGATTGGTTAAAAACTCTTAATTGAACTTTGTTGGGCTGTCAATTTGCACGAGTCTATATATATATATAAGTAGAAACATGACATAAATTATGAGTAGATACGCAGATTAACGGGTTCATGGAACAAAGATAGGAACGGGGACTCGAACCCAGAATCATAGGAACTGACATGTTTAACTACCGCAACTCTCCAAAACGAAGACGTCGAAGAAAGTAACGTGCCAACGACCAAACGGTTTGGTTGCAAAACCTGAATTTAACTTAATGGGAATAGAGAGTAGTTCCGCAGTCTGACGGGTTCATCTAACAAAGACAGGAAATGTATCTCATTAGATTTCCATATCCACGCGTGATTACCACATGTTTTATATCAAATACACTGGCATTTATATATATACCTTTTTCCCTGCCTGCTTATGTAATCTGCATGCCAATTCTTATCACTTGCATGCAATACCCTCATAAATCCATTATTCAAGCTATTCTGGAATAACACAGACAGCAATGGGTTTTCAAGAATTTGGACGATTCTTCAGATAAATCTCATGTTTAAGAACATGGAAACAAAAATGTTAGTCTGTCTCACATTCCCTGAATCACATTATTTACCCTACTGCCTAGCCCTCCCCGCAATGCGAAAGCCCTAAATGAAGCAAGTCTAGATTTCCGCAGGTTCAGAATCGCCCATCTCACTGGAGCTCCTTTTCAATTTAAATGGGTTTATTTGTTACTATCGTAATTATATATTCAGAGACAAAGCAGTAGTCTACATAAATGTCTGCGTGCATGTTTCTTACTCAAATACATTTTCCAATCTTCCGCCTTCCGAAGCTTTCTGCCAGACGGCTCTTGCCCCGCCTACTTCTATTGTTCCCTTGATGATCAGAGCGAGGATACCGGATATGACGATAATGATCTGGAAAACATCTGTCCACACGACTGCTTTCAAACCTCCCTGAAAATTACAAATATTTAGTCTCTGCATCATCTTCAAAACAATAAATACTATTTAAAGCAAATTTAAAATCATATTTAGGCATTTACGTTTTAAAATGTACAATATTCAACCATAGTGATTGTAATTGTAAAGTCCCCGCGGTTCAATTACAAAAGAGTTGTTACGAAGATAGTGAATCCATTCTACTTACCAGTGTGGTATATATCGTGCAGACGCCACCGATCGCCAATATAGACACAAGCATGGACATACCGCTCACTGGGGTTGAGAAAAAAAAAAAAAACAATTTTAATTTGATGAACCATTAACGTGATCGCCGATTTAGATCACAGTGGGAAATTTGCAAGTTGTGCGGGATATCCCAATATATACCGTGGGACAAAAGAAAGTACACATATGTCCAATGGGGACAGAAAATGAACCCTACAACAAATGGCTGTATTTGATACGGGTATCATATATATATTTAGTTAAAATTTGGGACTTAAGTTTGCAGTGTTTCGACAACTATTGTACAGTAATGTAACATTTTGATAACATTTAAGAAGAGAGATTTTATGGATGTCAACTTCTTTATAATGAGGAACACAACGTTTCGTAGCATATTATGTGTTCCTCATAAAGAAGTTGACATCCATCAAAACTCTCTTACCCGTGAAGGTCCGGGTTAGAATATTGATCTTCAGTAATCCATGCTTGTCGTAAGAGGCGAAAAACGGGATCGGGTGGTCAGTCTCCCAATTGCGCAAATCGATTCCCATGCTGTTGATCACTGGATTGTCTGGTCCAGACTCGATTATTTACAGACCGCCGTCATATAGCTGGAATATTGCTGAGTGCGGCGTAAACCTTAACTCCCTCACTCACTCACTCATAAAAACTCTCTTCCTGGTGTGTATTACTTCTAAATGCCATTCAAAGACTTGATAACATTTGTAATTAATATTTTTTGGTAAAAATAAAAAAATCCAGTTGTATGCCACCTTTAGTCCGGAAAATCATTAGACGTATTGATCAGTCCTAAAAGTTAACGAAAAAAGAAATCCCATCGAGAACGACTGAAATTAGATTCAACAGAACGCGAAATGGTAGACAAGTCTATACAGAACAAAAGAAACACGGAAATGACTCAACGTACATATCGACAAGAACTAGTTATTCTGACATAGTGAAGGACCATTTACCACAACCTCGTTGTAACCTCAGTACAGTCAATGAGCGGAAAGTGGAAAGTTTAGGTTGGTAATATACCATACCTAAACGTAATAACGGACACCACACTTTTCTTACCATACACAGATCCGCACATGTGTGATACTATGAGAGTGGGTTTTAGAAAGTCAGCAATACCTGCAAGTGTTATCACACCCCTTGTGTGGTTTCACCATATCGCTTACGTGAGTGAGTAAATTGAGTTTAACACAATGGGCGTCCGATATGTAAATGTAAGAGCCTTTTATCCACCGGGTTCACAAGTCTGAGAATGAGTGAGTGAGTGTGTGAGGATTAACACAACTTTGATCATTAAAATCTCAGAGTAACAGATACTTTTGAACGAAAAAAAGTGATGCAATTCTTAGATGCTCACCACTTTCGTGGAGTCACAAGCATGTATATATTACCATCACGCCAAGGGTCATTTTTCGTTCAAAAAGTATCTGTTACTCTGAGGATTTTAATGATCAAAGTTATATCCTACACACTCATATATATATATACATATATATATATATATATATATATATATATATATATATATATTGTGTGTGTGTGTGTGTGTGTGTGTGTGTGTGTGTGTGGTCCCTTCTTGCTGTGCAATCTTCGCAATGCAACCCAACCTTACCAATAATAAATGACAAGCCTCTCATTTACTTCCCTTCAGTACGGCAGTAAAACAGTAAAATATGGGTTTTAATATTTAGAACAAATTCCACTCCCAACCTTACTAGCCTCTAACCCCGAAATAAAATGGCTGCTCATTAATTGAGCAACAGATTATTTTGTGCGTGAATAATATTAGAATATGTCGACTTAATCTATTTCAGCTTTTTTGTGCTCGACTCACATTAAAATGACATTTATGAGCAAAGGTGCCATTATTTCCTTCGTTTATCACAAATGCAAGGCTTACAAACATAGATAGGTTTATCAGTTGACAAACGCTTCACGGATCCTTCCTAATCCTGCAGATACGTACACGTTGGGGCAATCAAACACAGCAGACCCAACCTTTTATAAAGAATAAGGTTATCAGTACAATCTTTGAAACACGTCAAGTAGATATTTTTTTCTTACAACATCAAACAAACACTACGCATGAGTTATAAACATGACCGAAATGTGAAGCTGATTTGGTGTATCTTATTCCCCTATATTGGGCCTCCCTTCACCTGGTTTTCTATTATCAGCGCCTGCGCGTAAGAGGGGCCCAAATTGGGTTAGTAATGAGGCGTAGCGGCGGGTTGCTGGTACATGATAAGCGGGACAGAAACAGTTCCAGATAGATACGGAGGTCGAAATCAGCTTACTCATTCCATTCTGCTAAGAGTGAAATTTTTGAATGGCCATCTGGTTTACACCTAAGCACACATGGGTTTTGTCGTTTATAAAAAAATCTTACAAAATAAAGGTAATTAGATTTACAATGACGTCATAGATGACTATTTGCGTTCCGTTGGGATCTGTTGAGTGTAGGTACTGAGCCAATGAGATGGTTAATGACACGGCCTCTTTAAGTACCCTGCAGCAATACATACTGAAGACACATCTATTTAACCGTTGCATGGAGCAATGGGTGTTAGCATGCCAGCCTGATTAAATGGTTTACTCTTTAAACACTATTTTTTTCTGTTTTGTTCCCATTGTGTTAAAGAAACATGACCGGTATTCGTCTCGTAAAGAATACATTTCGTAATTAGCTATTCTATCAGAACAAAATTCAAAGCGAATTCCTTTGATTAGCAGAGTTGGGTTTGTTTGTTTGTTTGTTTGTTGGCTTTTAACGCCGCTCTCAGCATAGGTTCCAGCTGGACCAGACAATCCAGTGACTGACAGCATGAGCATCGATCCACGCAATTGGAATACGATGACATGCATCAACAAGATTCGACAAGGATGTGTTGTTGAAGATGAATTCTAGCCCGACTGTTCACGGGTCGACAGCCTCTAAATAAAGTACAATCTTCTTTATGCCCTAGCCTTGCTGTAAGACTATGCTGAATGCTAAACTCATGGATGTATAGTAATTCTGTCTTTTAAAACGGCAAGTCTAGATAAGGGGAAAAGGACGCCTGTTATTTATATATTTTTTTAGAAATTTTCATTTAAACTATTAATTATTACCCTAGAGACTTATGCAAGTCTACATATGCCCACACATTGTTTTTGTTGTATACCATGCTAGCTGTATCAATCGGATATTCGGAACTTGGAGGCAGGTATAACAGTCAACATTTTAAAAAGTACGAAACATATTCCTTAACATAATTATTTTCGCTATTCTTTCCGTAATACAAGTTGACATATCGCCAATATGACCCTGGAACGTCTTTTGAAGGTTTTCTAGCATTCTACGTAGGAGGCTTTAACAAGCACCGTATGAGCATGCGCACTAAACGTAAGACGTCACCGTTCTCGGACAATATCAAACTGCTTGTCCATCCTTCAACGGACTCCCCGAGACGCAAACACAGTCAGCTTGTTATTGTGAAATTGTCTCGTATAGTATATATGATGACATTCCTAGGGATGGTGTTTGTGACGTCATCAACAAATCTCGACACGTACCTTGACTGAACACGAGAGCAGGGGCGTAGAACACAACAGCCATGTACACCATCTGTAGGGCGAGAAAATGGTACAAGTCAATACTTTATTCACTACGAAGGCCATAGACCGATATAAACATTTACAATTAACAACATACAAGTTTGGTAGTGGCAATGTTCGTTTAACAAATATTTAACGAATAGCCTAAAAAGTAGTACTTAAGGAAATAAACAATACATAAATAATATTAATTCTCTAGTCAGTTTCCAATGTATATACATGGATAGTTCGACATCTACCTCCATCATAACCAAACGCGAGAAGACCAACTCTAAAATACTTTCCTCAAGACCGGATATAACTTGAAAAGCCCCAATCCCTCGATCTCTTTAATAATAATAATAATATATATATATATATATATATATAGGAGATTTGATAAGAAATATCTGGACTCATATTTTATATATTTATTGCTTATACACCTGCAGAAATCACTTGTGTGTGTATATATATATATAAGCATTATATCATGTGTGTGATAAACATAAAATATAAAACATAAAATGAATGTTGTAATGTTAAAAATGGTGTCTATGTTTATATATATATATAATTTAGATATACTCCCGATTTGCTTTAATTCATCATACATGTTTGAAGTGCGTCTGTTTAGCGGAAGCAATGTTTTATTCATACCTGCATTTACTATAATGTGCTATACTATTCCTACAATACAGTCAAGACGTTTCCGTTTAGTGTTTGGCAAAGATAATGGGAAGAATTCCGTGCATTATAAATACCCGAATTTAATGGAGAAAATATGGTATACTACAATGCCGTTACCGATAACATTATTACATGATTTTTTAATGTCAACAGACACATTAGCAAATAAAATTTGGAGAATTCTGTGCATCTAAATAACACGAAGTTTAATGGAGAAAATACGGTACACTACAATGTCATTATAGATTACATAATTACATGATTATTAAATCGTCAACAGACAAATAACTTTCCCACAAGATAATTTCTGATAATGTTCTATGGCTGATCCGTAAACCAACACATGTGTATCTGTACTGGAAGGCTGCCGACTAGGACACCGTGTTGGTTATCGCACAGCGGGACCAGAAACAACCAGTCTATGTCTGGCATTTTTGTGATACAGGTTGCTAAGTTTGACAACAGCAAAGCCCTGTCTGTGGTGTGGGTGAATTAGTTCCAGCAATCCAGAGTGTGCGCTGCATGATGAATTTGTGCAGGTGCCTCTGAGGAGGTGTCAAGGATGAGAGGTTACCTCTTCATCACAGTTGAAGTGGTCTGATCAGAGGCGCCATTGTCGTAGTCTTTGCTCTTGTAGAAGTAATACTGAATTAGCTGGGACGTCTTCAACACGTTGTCGGGGCGGTGGGGTAGCCTAATGGTTAAAGCGTTTGTTCATCAGGCTGAATGCCCGGGTTCGATTCCCCAAATGTGTACAATCTGTGAAGCCCATTGCTGCTGTCCCCTGCTGTGATATTGCTGGAATATTGCTCAAAGCGGCGTTAAACCATACTCACTCCCTCAACACCTTGTCAATAGATCATGTGTCCTTCCTTGGCACAAACAGAATATCTTAAACGACATGATGGCATGGCTCGTTGTTTTTATTATCATCTTCGCCATGTCTGGCGAAATGTCTCGCCTGCATCCCAAGTACACTGTCATTCATCAGGATCTCAATTGGTTTCGGTGCCCTTGGTTTGGTACCTCCTGATCTCTTGAGTAACACCTCTGGTACTTTTTTTTCGACTTTAGTAGATATAATTTGTGATATTTCTCGATAAATTGATGATATCCAACTCTGCCCTGCACCTCTCCAATAGATATGGAGGGTGATATCCAAACAATCCATCCAAATGTGTTCGATTTATTGGTTTAACTTCAAAATATGAAAACTTACGCACTTCAATCAAAAATTAGAAAATCGGAAACGAACTTTGCACTGCGCCTCTACTTTAAACAAAGAAGAATATTTTCCAAATCTAAAAACATATTGTCCAATACTTTTCAAGTTATTCGTCAAACAAACTTTTCAAAGTTCAAATTATTTAATTGCAAGAATTCTCAATAAAATTAAAAAACTTATCACAGTCAACATTTGCTCTGCCCCTCTCCCTCAGACAATGAAGGTTGTCTCCAAATTTGAAAACAATCCAATCAATAAAGGAAAACAAGGTTCTATGGATAGTCAACTTCTTTACTGCAATGAGTGCCACGTTTCGGTGTAGGTACTAACACCGTTATCATACAACAAAAACGTCGCACTCATTGCAATAAAGAAGTTGACTATCCATAGAACTTGGTTTTCTTTCATCTATACAACACGCCCCTCAAAGAAGAAATCCAACCAGTAGTTTTCAAGTTTTTGGTTGGAGAAAGATGTCTTCGGATGGACGAACTAAGCGTGACAGCGTGTGACAATATGTGACAGCGTGTGACAGCATGTGACAGCGTGTGACTGAGTATGACAGAGTGTGACTGAGTATGACAGCGTGTGTGACAGCATGTGGCAGCGTGTGACTGAGTATGACAGCGTGCACAGCATGTGACTGAGAATGACAGCGTGTGACAGAGTATGACAGCGTGTGACTGAGTATGACAGCGTGTGACTACGTGTGACTCAGTATGACAGCGTGTGACTGTGTGTGACAGCGTGTGACTGTGTGTGACAGCGTGTGACTGAGTATGACAGCGTGTGACTGAGTATGACAGCGTGCACAGCATGTGACTGAGAATGACAGCGTGTGACAGCGTGTGACTGAGTATGACAGCGTGTGACTGAGTATGACAGCGTGTGACTGCGTATGACAGCGTGTGACTGTGTGTGACAGCGTGTGACTGCGTATGACAGCGTGTGACAGCATGTGACTGAGTGTGACAGCATGTGACTGAGTGTGACAGCATGTGACTGAGTGTGACAGCGTGTGACTGAGTATGACAGCGTGTGACTGAGTGTGACAGCATGTGACTGAGTGTGACAGCATGTGACAGCGTGTGACTGAGTATGACTTACCATCTGCAATGTGAACACCAAGCATCCTAAGACCCTAACACTGTAGTTGAACCTGAGTTCTAAGTACTGAAACAGAAGAATGAAAAACATCACCAATCATGAGTCGACAGTCATACACATCGGTATGCAATGCACGAAAAACATATCTCAACAGCGGCCTCACTTGTCATTCGGCATGGCTTGTCATTTCCACATTCGTCAAGCAGAGTTACCCTTGGACAACATTCAAGTTAAGGTTTTGCATTGGTGGAACCGGGGTTAGGGGTGGGGGGTGGTATAGTGTAACCGAACTCACTAATTTCATTGGGCATTTGAAGTCCATCACGCCCTTTCCATATTGGCATTTCACGTAGTGAGGTAACCGAAATTCTGGTCAATCGGCTATACTACATATATAATGGAGTACTAAGGGAATACAAGAATCCACGCCGCCAGGGTAGGTTGTCCAACATTGTAATCCCCACTTTAGGCTATGGCAACAGACATTGGGTATATCCGGCCTTGGAATCCCCTACACATGCAAGGGAGGCAACTCTACACAGCGAATTGTGGCGCATCGTTGGACTAAGCTCACCGAACTCTAAAAGAACACAGCACAATGGGTTACGTACTCTTCGCGCTTATCCATTGATTGACAACCTGTTTTTACATCTAATATTTATATTTTTGGAAATTGTGAAACAAGAAACGAAAAGCGCCAAGCATGTTGCAGGAAGGCGTCTCAGTGGCGTGAGTCTTACGTCGCCTAGCCAAAACATACGACGTCCTTGACCTTCAACATGGGTGTTCTCTAAGAGTTTGGCGCCACTGTTATTCGCCACGTTGGCTGTTTGTCCAGCCGCTTGGTGTGTCGAATTTCAACATTTTCACCACATTGGAGGCCAGACAATAATCTGAGGTACTTGAAAGTCATTTCATTGTACATTTATTTAATTAATTTCGTCTTGTAATTGTGTAGTTAAAATTCCTAGGTATATCGTTTTGGAAATGACTGAGTAAAGGCGTATGTATTCCAGGAATATCAAGGTAGGGATACAGGAAATAGATAAGTCTTTTATGTTCTGTGGTACTTCATGCTTGTTTGAAAACAGTATAGGTCTTCACCATTTTCTAAAATGCCAATCAAACAGACCTGGGGCCCGATCCACAAAGCGTTCGTAGCGACACTATTCGTAACTGTTCACGATCGAAATTAAGACGCTTTGTGGATCGGGCCCCAGGTCTGTATGCTACATGGCTATCTGTTGACAGTTTGGGAGACAAGTCTTCCTGATACTGTTCTTAATCATTTAATACTAAAATGATTATTTCTAACCTTAAGGTAGCCATGTGGTTAAAGTGTTACATTGTCACACCCTTGACCGGGTTCGATCCTCACATGGGTTCAATGTGTGAAGCCAGTTTCAGGCACATTCCTGCCCTGCTGTGGCTGGAATATTGCGAAAGATGAGAGTGAGAGAGTTGTTTTGGTCGTACTCCCTTTAACTCCCGTCAACTCCCGTCAACTCGAGAGATCCAACGCCATGCAGTAGCACGGATCTGCTGCTTCGGCTTTCTCGCCATACTGACGGGACTGTTATAGAAACAAATTCACGCCTCGATGATTTCAGTCGCTGCTGTATATTTACACACGCCCAGAATAGATAGGTTGCTTTGTCTGCATTCTACTTCCTCTTCCCTAAATTGCTGTTCTATTCCGTTTCGTTATGTGCTTGTGCAACCCTTTCTTACTTGTTAGAGTCGAATTTCCCTGGAACTGCCGCCACCACCATCATTCCATTCCGAACTTAAACCCCTACCCCTTAATTGTATTCTCATCCCCACATTTACACCCTTCGCCCCGACATTTGAAATCCCGCCCCCATATGTCTACCCTCAGTTCGACACAATCACTCTCACGACCCTACCCCTAGAATTTGACTCTCACCCCGACACTTATACCCTTAAACCAACACCCCTAACCTCAACCCCACACTTCTACCCTCAACCTCACTCTTTTACCTTAAAGTTCACACTTCTACCTTCAGCCCCACACTTCTACCCTCAACCCCACACTTCTACCTTCAACCCCACACTTCTACCCTCAACCCCACAATTCTACCTTCAACCTCACACTTCTACCTTCAACCCCACACTTCTACCTTCAACCCCACACTTCTACCTTCAACCCCACACTTCTACCCTCACCCCCACACCCCACCTTCTACCCTCAACCCCACACTTCTACCTTCAACCTCACACTTCTACCTTCAACCCCACACTTCTACCTTCAACCCCACACTTCTACCTCCCCCACACTTCAACCCCACACTTCTACCTTCAACCCCACACTTCTACCTTCAACCCCACACAATTCTACCTTCAACCTCACACTTCTACCTTCAACCCAACATTTCTACCCTCAACCCCACAACTTCTACCTTCAACCTCACTTCTACCCTCAACCTCACACTTCTACCTTCAACCCCACACTTCTACCCTCAACCCCAAACTTCTACCTTCAACCTCACACTTCTACCCTCAACCTCACACTTCTACCTTCAAACCCACACTTCTACCTTCAACCCCACACTTCTTCCTTCAACCCCACACTTCTACCTTCAACCTCACACTTCTACCTTCAACCCCACACTTCTACCGTCAACCCCACACTTCTACCTTCAACATCACACTTCTACCTTCAAACCCACACTTTTACCTTCAACCTCACACTTCTACCTTCAACCCCACACTTCTACCTTCAACCTCATACTTCTACCTTCAACCCCCCACTTCTACCTTCACTTGTACCCTCAACCTCACACTTCTACCCTAAACCCCACACTTCTACCTTCAACCCCACACTTCTACCCTCAACCCCACACTTCTACCCTCAACCCCACTTCTACCTTCAACCCCACACTTCTACCCTCAACCCCACACTTCTAACCTCAATCTCACACTTCTACCCTCAACCCCACACTTCTACCTTCAACCTCAGACTTCTACCCTCAACCTCACACTTCTACCCTCAACCACACACTTCTACCTTCAACCCCACACTTCTACTCTCAAGTGGCCTAAACCCCATACTTCTACTTTCAAACCCACACTTCTACCCTCAATCCCACACTTCTACTTCCAACCCCACACTTACACCATCACTCCCTCTCGTACACCATGTGTAATCTAAACACTTCTACCCTCAAACCCACACTTCTACCCTCAAACCCACACATCTACCGTAAACCTCACGCGTGCAACATCACTCCGACTAGTACACCGCAATATTAACACATCTACCCCCACCCCGTACTGACACCATCACTCCTACCCTCATAAACTCACCCACATACTTTCAACCCCACATCGTTCTGGTAGGCGTCTTTATAAAGAACAGCCTCTGCTTGGTTTTAAAATAGAGTAGCCTTGTGGCTTGAGTGTTTGCCCGTCAAGCCGAAAAGCCATGTTCGATTCCACGAGTGCTAAAATTTGTGAAGCCCATTCGGCATGAGACGGAACGGTTCTAAACACGGAGAAAACACGTAATCACACATGTACTTAACGTCTAAAATATCATCACATTCCTATTACATCATCGCAACTCAATAAAAGACCTTAAATACCCCATTTACAAATCATAATTAATTAATAATTTTCCCAAGTACCATCTGACAGAGAGATACTAAATAATCTACACTGTAATATTGATTTGTATCAGAATGACTCAAACGTCACCGATAAAAGCATTAGCAGTCGTACAGAGAACAGCATTGAATTGCCCCTGGGGACCACGGGTGTGTAAATCAACATTGAAACATCTGGGGCCGGTGTACCCAACCGGTAACAATCCGTAATGAAACCATTGTTCTCCCAACGGTGCAATAAAATAATTCGTGTACAATTTGTAACAAGTCAGAACACGGAAACCGCCATTTTAATCCATTCTGTGACAGAACGGTTGCAGATGGCGTCGAATGATTTACTGTCAAATAGCCGTAGGCAAACAGTATCGGTAAACAATTCGGCGACACACCTGCAAATCTCTGTTTGTTTCGGATGATGAATTGAATAATCGACATAATGAATAATACTCTTATCTACGGTCATTAACTGCCCATAGCATTTATATAACTCAACTGCACTTTACACAGAGCTCAAGTATCAGGCTCCTGTTAACGAAACACTCCTGCTGAAAAGTAACGAAACACTCCTTTCGCAAATTAGCGAAACACAACCGCTGTTGTGCTGTGCTGTGAAACTGATCCAAATGATTATTTCAACAAACACTATTCATCTTGCTGCAGGTGGTAAAATTCATAGAATTACTCTTTACCTATCCGAGGGAGTGACATATTTCTGCGGAATTCCGCAAATAGATCCGTCCGCAAAACTACTGCATGTTATTGCGCCAATTTATCAGTAAGTAAACTGCAGTTTTACTTCAACTTTACAGGCGTATGGATACATTTATTCGTAATACTTTGGAATGTGTGTCGCCCTAATCTTGATCGGTCACTTCAATGAGAAAATATATTTCATGTGGATAATATTATTTGTTTCTGAGTGAAACATATTTCAACTATTAACTGTTTAGCACGGAGTATGTACAAGGTTTCAATGAATAGATTTTATAAACAAAAGGGACAAAACCATTAAGATATACATTAAAAAATCTATGCTAACAGACTCGCTTGATCGATTCGGGCTGTATCAGGAGCAGGTGTTTATTAGATGCTATTAAATGGCCCTGATACAACATATTTGAAAAAGGTAAGCGTATCCTGCACCGTCGTCACCACCCATCACAAACATATGCAAAGCCAGGTCAACCGTTTACCTAAAAAACCCACGAGAAACCCTCAGTTATGCGTCGTTTGTAAGTTTTTATAACTTATACGAGTCCTATTTGCTGAAGTAGTTCCTGATGAAATTATGACGCCTGTTATACATTAATCTCACACTTGGTGTCATAAATTCACTGTATAGAAAGAAAACCCACATCGTTTTATAAGAAAAATGTGTAATATGTTTACGTTTAACCCACAAATGGATTATCTTTCACCTTTATATAATACGTAGCCCAC